ACGAAAAGCAGGAATGGCTTCACCGACCACAAGACTAAGCATAATCCGAATAATGATTATCCGTAAAAAGCAGTGATGGCAAAAAGCAGGGGCAAAACTTCAGCGACCAGGCTCTTAGGTGGTATGTTCCTGGCCCCTTCCGACCATTCTGCTGTCGACATCAGTGATTGGCTGGATTGTGTGGAGTTTTCGATGACGCGCCTTGGTGTCGATGTTGGTGGGGCAACAAATGATTTTAAAATATCCTGGTTTTTCGATTTGAATGGATGTTTCAAGCTTAATAATATGCTAATTCGACAATATTTAAAACTATGATTTTGAATACCAACGGTTGAATAGCAAGATGCACCCGACATCCGAAATACGACAGTGGAAGTCGCCATGTACCGCCGAGGAGTCGTGAACGCGTTCTCGAGCGCACCACTGCCGCACGGATACAGCATCTTCCACAAAGGTACGCCAAGGACGACTCGGTAGATGGCTTATCAATATCACTGCGGCTGTCTCTAGCACGTCCGGACTACCCTGTTCATGCGTTTGCCACGGTTGACAAAGTACTGCACGTGACCGAACAGCATCCGTCTGCCATGTTTGACGTTGTCGAGATTGGCGCTGGACAAGGAAAGCTTACAAAAGCCCTCAAGCGAGTTTTGCCTACAGGCACCCGGTTTGCTGCGGTGGAGGATGACGATGGCCTTCGCGTCGAGATGCAGCACTTCGTCCCTAACGTCCCTGTATTCATCGGAACAGCAACCAACACAACACTCCCGGTTGAGTCTGTGGGCAACATTGTCATCGGTCATGCATTTCACTGCATGGCAAACGCAAATGCTCTCGACGAAGTACGTCATATTCTCTCACTACGCATTCATGTTCTCCGTCGGCTTACTTGATGCCGTGGTAGTTCCATCGCATCTTGGTGCCAAATGGCCGTCTCGGCATCATGCTGAATACAGGAGACTTCAACTCGAGTCCGTTCATGGAAGAGGTCGAGCGCGTGGTGAGATCATTCAATGCTGCGTACGTGCCGACGCAGCCGAACCAATTGCAACTGCAAGAGATCTTCCACGATCGCCCGAATCTGTTCACACCATTGGAGTCGGAGCACATCGATACGGTGTTCTCTGCGTCCGTGGATGGGATTGTCAACTACCTCATGTCCACTTGTGTCCTGGTCAACTTGTCCCATCGCCGCCAAACCGACGTGCGGCTGTCGATTGCCCGCTTGATCGAGATGAACCCCGACGTGACAGAGGACGAGCATGGACAAAAGAAACTTGACTTGCCGTGCAAGGTCGAATTCCACTGGGTCGAAAAGGTTCAGTCTCACCAATACGACTCGACTGAAGCTTCACTGTCCAAGGTCTTGCATTCTTGCTAGCCCTGGCCGACCTTCTGCCGAACTCTCTCTGTAATCTTATTGCTTTGCCCCACTTGCCATGTTTGCACCCTCGAAAAGTCCGGTGTTCCTTCGCACCATCATCTCCGCTCACTCGTGTTTCAGCGCCACCCCGCGCCACTTTGGTTTTGAACGGGATATTAACGACCGGATAGCTGGATACATTTTCCGGATATCATCTTTTGTCGATTTTGTTGTGCACTGGAAAAGATACACCAACTCAGCGCCGGCGCAGTGACTTGCGATGGGAGACGGCACCGCCATGACGCGCGGTCTGGTACTGGAAGAAGCTCGCGAGGTCGCCATGTACACGTTTGGGCAGGTAGACACTTCGCAGCTCGGCTAGTCCTTACCCTTTGATAGAACTCATATGGAGAGCTCGGGCACGGTGACACAATGTCGCGCATGGTGCCAACACGTGTCAAGTTCTGCGAAGGTCGCAACGTGATAGACGTCGCTTGCGGAAACGAAAACACCATCGCGTCGTGTGAGAATGGCGAGGTGTTTGCATGTGGGTACAATGACAGGTACCTCCCACAACGTCCGATGTACCGTCCGTGTCACGAACGTCCCATGCACAGTGGGCAATGCGGCATGGGAACAACGCAACGAGTGCATTCTTTCAAACTCATTATGAGTCTTGTCGACAAGCAAGTGGTGAAGCTCAGTGCTGGCAATGGCTGCGAGCATGTTGCCGCAGTCTCAGGTACATCACAACCTTGCCACAAACTCGACACTGCAGGTTGTTCTTGCAGATAGCGGACACGTCTACACGTTTGGGTACAACGCACGTGGACAATTGGGCCATGGATCGACAGCGGCATGTGCATTCCCGTCGCGCGTCGAGTTTCCGGTCGACGTGTCAGTCGTCCAGGTTGCATGCAGCTACTTCCACACGCTCGTTGCTACAGCAGACAATGAACTGTACGGTTTTGGACGGAACGACTTTGGTCAGTTGGGAATCTCCGATGGTCTGGACAAGCACGAGCCGTCTCGAATCCCTTTCTTCAGCGGCCGACGGATCCTCGCCATGGCGTGTGGGCAGTACCACTCAATCGTGTCGCTTGGTACGTCGATTGAATCGTCGCCCACTCTGCTCACCTGTTTTGCATCGTGAGCTTCGGGTGGTCTGTATGCATTTGGCAAGAATGATTTTGGACAGCTCGGCGTTGACGTGCGGGGGGTGCGGGCGACGCCGGTCGCGGTTGGCGATTTCGACTCGGACATTGTCGTCCAAGTGGCGTGTGGTTATTACCACTCGGTAGCGCTGACGCAGTCTGGCAAAGTGTTCACGTTTGGTCGCAACGACTACGGTCAGCTGGGCTTGGGGCACAACCACACAGTGTCCACTCCATCGGTATTTTTTGCTGCTTCGCTCGTGATCACCTCATGCACTGACGGGTCCTTCCGCAGTTGGTGGCGTACCTGACGGCGTTTACTATCGTCGACGTGGCATGTGGTTGCTACCATACGCTTACCCTGAGTGACTTGGGCCGCGTGTACCCATTTGGCCGCAACAACCACGGACAGCTGGGTACTGGCAACACCCTCGATTCCACGTTCCCGACGTACATCGAATCGCTTCGAGACGTACGGGTCTGGAAGGTCCGTGGAAATCGCTGCGCCCTTGGTGATTGCGACGATTGTGGTAGATCGCGGCGGGGTTCTACCACTCGGTGTGTCTTACTGGGAACGCGCGCCCGCGGTGGATGGACCGCGCGCCGCCTGTCAGTTCGCTCGCAACCGATTTAGCCAAACTCGTCAACAACCCTCAGCGCAGCGACGTGCAATTTCGCGTGGACGGCCAACTCATTTACGGCCACCGATGCATTCTCATGGCACGGTGCGAGCCGTTGGAAATCATGCTGAATGGCCCCATGCGGGAGAGATCCCAGGCCGAGATAGACATTCCCGAGCTATCGGTGCGACTTGTTAGCCTTGTGTCGTCCCGTGACACGTCGTTGGCGTGTGTAGCACGACGCATTTCTAGCGATGCTGCATTTCATCTACACTGATAAGGTGCCGGCACTCGAGCGCCGCGCCACCGACATCGGTACGAGCTGCTTGCTTGGGTCTTCTAGCTCGAAAGAGACGGGCTGTGGTTGATAGATTTTGTGCTGGACCTCATCGCGATCGCCGATCAATTTTTACTGGACAACATGAAGCGGTCTGTCCTGATGCTCTCTCGACTCGACGGACGCCCGACTTGGTTTCGTAGGCAATGCGAACTTGCCATCCACCAGAACATCAACCAAGATAACTTTGCCGCCATGTTAATGGTATGTGACCAGCATTGGAATCGTGACATGCCATGAGGTCGGCTAGACTGCGCACTGCCGTCAAGCCCACACGTTGAAGCGAGGTTGCATCGACTACATTCTAGCGCATTTTGGAGCTATCATTGGCATGCCGGTACGACATGCCCTACAGAACTCGACCTCAGCGCCGCTGCAGGAGTTTATGGAATTGCCGCCAGAACTCATGCAAGAGATCCTGATGACGGCGTCGCGCCGGGGCGTGATCATCAAGGCCACGTAGATCCCAATCGATGGCACGAACACATATCGAAAGATGAACTTGTGTACAAATTGGTGGCGGCACGCGAGACCTCGAAAGACGAACGGGGGAAAGTTTGCTGGGTCTCTATATTAATCGGCCACCACACCACACGTTGCCTTTACTTCAGTTCCGACAACATGGACGTCGGGTTCTCCAAAAAGTTCTTCCACTTGGTCGAGAAGCGCGCCATGGTCGCGCCGTCGATGATCCGGTGGTCTCCGCTCCACGACACGTTCATGATCTTGACCGGCACGACCTCGCCCGCCTTGTTGAAGCGCGGCAGTGTCTGAATCTTTCCGATCGCGCCGATCGCGACCTGCGGCACCATGATCACAGGGCCCATGTACGTCCCGCCGATACTCCCAATGTTGGACAGTCTACGTGTAAATCGCTCAACTCCAGTACATCCCATCGACACGTACGAGAAGGTCCCGCCCGTCAGGTCGTTCGGGCCCAATTTGCCCGCCGTCGCCAGCCCTTGCAGTCTGCTCAAGTCTTCAGCGATTTCCAGGATCGACTTGGACTCGACGTTCTTGATGTTGGGCACTAAAAGGCCCTTGGGGGTGTCCATGGCGACCGAAATGTTGTGGTGCGCATGGAGCGTGATGAAGCCTTCGCATTCGCTCACGGACGAGTTGAGCACAGGGTAGTACTTCAGAGCCAGGGAAGCAGCCTGCCACACGAGTCAGCCGTGCGATGCTTTAAGGTCAATTCAGTGGCCAACCTTACCTTGATCATCAATGGCAGGTACGTGATCTTGATGCCGCGTTCGGCAGCGACGACTTTGAGGCGCTGTCGGAGTTCGTCCAAAGCATCCATTTCAATCTACGACGACCATGAATACGGGCATATGGAGAACGGACCAAGCCTTGGAATCGTCAGTACCTCGTCGGCGTAGCCAAAGTGCGGCACCTTCAGCGCTGCGTTCATGGACTTGACCATCATCTTTTGAATAGCTACAGACGATTTTGTGCACCGTTAGCCAGGACGTTAAATTTTGGGTGAGAGCACGTACGATTTACAGGCACGACTTGACTTTCTGTGAGGAATTCCACACCCTTCGAGGAAGAAGTTGTGCCGGCGACCTCATGAGAGCTTTCTGCAGAAGCTTGAGAAGCAGCCTGGGCGGGTTGAAACTTGGCCTCGGACAATTCGCGGATGTAGTTGAGGATGTCTCCCTTCAAGATTCGATCTCCTTCAACGGGAATGTCCTCCAAGTCGATGTTGTGCTCACGCGCCAATCGGCGAACGGACGGCGTCGTCAAGACCTTGCCCGTCTTGGTTCGAACAATCGAGGACAACGACGCAGGCGCGACCGAGACTGGGGCTTGAGGAGTCGGGACGACAGGAGCATGCAACGATTTGATGGGAGTCGGGGTTGCTGCCTTCTTCAATTGTTCTACTTTCTTGGCGCCTGCCGCGGGCTTCTTGGAGGCGGCTCCTGCATTATGGGCGGCGGCAATTTCGTCCGACACGTCCAAGTCGATCAAGGCGCTGCCGACTTTGGCCATACCACCAACGTCGTAGTGGAGCTTGGTCACGACACCGTCAAAGCGGGATGTGATCTCGACGGTGGCCTTGTCGCTTTGCACTTCGACAAGGTTTTGGAATTGCGATATTTTGTCGCCAGGCTTGACAAACCACTGCAAGACCTCGACTTCCGCAATCCCTTCGCCGATATCTGCCAAGTTGAACGAGATCTGAGGCATCATGGATGTTCGAGACGCATGGAACGCGCGGAGCGACGACCGAGCAGACGTCGCATGCAAGAAGCCTCGGCGAAGTTGAAACATGATAGTGCGCTCGATGGAGGAAATCTCGAAATGGCTAAGTCGTAATCGGTGGATTTCTTTTATATATTTGTCAAGGAGGAATCGAAGTTTCAAGGAACTTCGAATTGTGGTCTTGAAGATTTGATAAAAAGGAAGCGGCGCCACCTTATATTAGTCCAATGCGGTGTGCATCGTCGTGGCGGCGGCATTCGTGGTCGGGTAGAGAGCACACGGTCAACGCAAGCCCGTTGTCCATGAGGGTGACTGTGCGTCCATGTTACTTGAAAACTCTAAACTTAGCCACGTGGTGGATAGTGACGGCCACATGGGTTTGGTTGTGCGGATGGCCCTCATTCACACATGCTGAAGTACGGTAATGTAATTATGTACCTACCTCCCGATATCCAGATTACATGGGACAAACCCACATGGTGTGGATCCTGGACGCCGCCGTCGTCGAGAGGTTCGAGGAAGGGACGCGACTCCCCGTCGACCCATGCTTTTATACGAATTTTTCCCAGCAACCCGCGCGGGCATTCCAATGCCGAGGATGTCCGCGCGGCCACACCTCGCCACTCCGCGATTGCTCGCCACCTTGAACTTCAACTGGATGTCTACCGCATGGGGCTTTAGCACGAGGTTGGGCGGCTTACCACGGTGAAGGGGTTTGGAACGTTTTTGAAACAGGCTCGAAATAAAGTTGGTCATGTTATTTGACAGACACCTAACGTTTGAAACGTGTACAGGACACCTATGTCCAGCATACCACCAAATGGACGAATCGAATAGCAAGGATTTGTGGTTTTGGTTCCTTTTCTACCAATCCGATTTAGCGCTGAATTGTGATGAAGGTGTTGCCGTTGAACCTTCAACTTGCGTCTTATTTTATCCTAATCTTGTCGATCAACTTCGAAGTACGATTTTTGCCCCACTGCCACATGCCATTTTGGAATTTGCTGTATCGTCCGTCGATCGAATGCTCGGTAGATCGATTGCCGGCATGCGCCGCTTCGCGTCCACGGCGGCGCCTGCAACAGAGCGCATGAACATGTTCACAGCCTTGAACGATGCCATGCGCGTTGCCATGGAAACAGACCCGACGGCTGCCGTCTTTGGCGAAGATGTCGCTTTCGGAGGAGTGTTTCGTTGCACCGTGGATCTTCGCGAACAGTTTGGGGAAGACCGCGTGTTCAACTCTCCTTTGTGCGAGCAAGGGATTGCTGGATTTGCCATCGGGTACGCCTCGGTCGGACGCACCGCGATCGCGGAAATCCAGTTCGCCGACTACATTTTCCCCGCATTTGATCAAATTGTGAATGAAGCCGCCAAGTTCCGCTACCGATCGGGTAACCAGTGGGACTGCGGCAAGCTCACGTTCCGAGCGCCATATGGAGCTGTCGGCCACGGCGCGCATTACCACTCACAGTCGCCCGAAGCGTACTTTGCCCACACCCCCGGACTCAAAGTCGTCATTCCTCGCAACCCTGTGCAAGCCAAGGGCCTTCTCCTCGCGTCGATTCGGGACCCCAATCCGGTACGCTTTTGTTGTGCGACGCTCCACATCATCGACTACTGTGGGTATTAGGTGGTGTTCTTTGAACCAAAGGCATTGTACCGTGCGTCTGTGGCCGAAGTGCCCGTGGGTGATTTCACCATTCCCCTTGGCCAAGCCGATATAGTTCGCTCGGGCACGGACGTCACGCTTGTTGGCTGGGGGGCGCAAATGCGTGTTTTGGAAGAGGTATTGCATTGCTGTCTCGATGGATGCAACTCGGTCACTCGTATCCCGCCGTAGACGTGTGACATGGCGGAAGAAGCAGGCGTGAGTTGCGAACTCATCGACTTGCAGACGATTCTGCCTTGGGATGTCGACACCATTGAACAGTCTGTGCGCAAGACCGGTCGACTAATTGTGTCCCACGAAGCTCCCGTACGTCTTTCGTCCACTTGGCCATGGTCTTGAGCCCATGATTGATTGCCTTGGTCGTGCAGCGCACAGGTGGGTTCGCTGGGGAAATTGCGTCGACGATTCAAGAACGATGTTTTTTGAGCTTGGAAGCACCGATCATGCGAGTAACGGGGTACGATACTCCGTTTCCGCTGGCCCACGAAAAGGTGCGTTGGCCTGGAGTTGCTCGTCTCGTTGCTCACGTTGCTCGTGCAGTTTTACCTTCCGGACGCCCTCAAGAACTTTGAAGCGATCAAGAAGATCGTGAATTATTAAACCGTTTTTCAGATCAAACTACAATCGTTTGTCCGAGGGAAGTTTCCATGGACGACGACTGCATGTCGATGAAATTACATGGCCAAGTTCATGGTGACCTCGCAATACTGGCAGAAGAGCTGCGTCTGCGCAAACTCGGCGAGGAACTGGGGATGCAAACTCCCGCGGACGACTGTGGCATGGAACTGGTCTTGCAGGACGTCGTAGGTCGATTGGTCGCCTACAGCACGTCATCCGCTTGTGTGAATATGATCCGTCGATGGGACCTGTGGGTGGCGGCAACTGTATGGAGGCAATGTTGCCGCAAATGTTGGCGAGGACGGCGCTGGCCTTGGGCAGCAGCGGTGCAAGCACGCCATGCTCGGCGTCTACGCAACATCCCGCGCCTCAATGTGTCGTTTGGAGGGACGTCTGCTCTCACCGGACACTTCGTGCCACGGCTGCCCAGGCCGCGGCGGCAACGACCGCAGGTTGGCACTGGCGTCGTGGAGAAGCTTGGTGAGGTCGTTCGCACGGGGAAACGAGAGCAGGAGCGACGAGTATGGGCACTGCATCGAGTCCGACTCGACATGGACAAAGCACACATCGGGCCATTCTTCCATCGACACCACGGCGCTGTGGACACCGACCAAATACGGCACTGGCGAGTGCAAAAAGTCGAGTAGGTTCGACGGCAGGATCGGGATGAACGTCGACTAAATCGGCAATTCCTGTCGCATCCCATGGCAATTTGATCGAGCAGTACCTGCCACTGGAACGGTCGGAGGAGGACAACAAGTGCTGTGTTGACCACCGACAGTTTAGCGGTGCTGTCGCTGACGACTGCGACCTGCTTCTCCAAGAGCAGACAGCTCACGACCTTGACTACAGTGGGGGCGCTGAGCAATCGAAGCAGCACCACGACCGCCCAATTGTCCGTCGCAGCTGGATCGACTGGAAACTGCCCACCGACTCGGTCAGGTTCATCGCGACGGTCCAGACAAGGCGGAGTGTACCTGGTATTTGAGCTCGGAGTGCGGCAGTCGAGCGGATGACCATGCTCCAGGGGCCACCACTGGCATGCCGCGAAACCTCCGCAGCAACTGCTCTCGCCATCCAGGATCAAAACAGCAGCGTTTGCAAGACTTACTTCCAACACCGCAGATGACGACGTGGCTTGTCGCGTCGGCGATTTCTTGCCTTCGGACGGAGCACGATCGTTGGGGTTGTGTCGGTGGGCCGATGGAAGTTTTCGTCGCAGTCCAAGTTTGAGCGGCCGCTTGGACGATTCGAGCAATTGCAAGACATCCCCGAACGCCATGTGATCTACTCACGTCGATAGCATGAGCGCAAGCACAGCCGGCGGCGGACGTGTCGTACTCAGCGGAAACCCATTCACAGCGTGGAGTGCATCGCCTGGGGTCACCCCTGCTGCTGACGCGGCGGCAGTGCACGCGTGCACGACGATAGACGTCGTGCGACCGCATGGCGTGCCAAGCGGACGCGTCTGCTTTGACCCGGCACACATCTCTGTCCAGCTATGACTTCGTACAAAGTGGCGTGTGCGGGGTGGTTTGGGATTTGGTAGCGATCCCATCGGTCTGTCGTCCGTCATCTCCGTGATGGCAATCGTGTTTTTCTCGGCATCGTTTCCACCTTGCTTTGTCGCAATCGAGTTCAGAACGTGGGCGGCTCGAGCGTGGGGGTCGCGAGTGCAATGCACCGAGCCGTTGCGCTCGCAAAGCGTTATCCCGAGGTCCTTGCCAGTCAAAACAACCTACGCCACACGAAACAGCCCAGTTTACAAAGCATCCCGACAATCTCACGTCGATGTCGTGGGTGTGTTGATCGGCCAGAGCTGCGCGCGCCTCGCGTCGGGTCTCCATGTCGGCTTCGATGACAAGGCGAAGCACCTACAACAAACGCACGCCGATGGGTCGAAAGAGGCGCACCACGGGTTACACCTGAAAGTGGAGCTTGTACAGCGGGTACTTGCTCGTGATGCAATAACATCGCGGACTGATCAGCACTTCTGCAGCCGCCCCACGTGCCTGAAACACGTCCTCGTTCTTCCCGCCCGTCAATGGCGACGCCAGAATTCCTGCTTGTGAGTGGAACTTGATGGCACGATCTGTGGCGCCAGCCGCTCTCGACGTTGCGGGCATGGGTGTTGTGGCGACGGTTGGCGACCCGGGTGGCGTCGCTGGCTGATGCGCGTCAACATCCACATTGTCACGAGCTGTGTTGTCAAGCAAAATGGGTGGTTCGGACGCGTCCATGAGGATCGCTGCGCAAAAGCCATACAGTGCTTCGCCTTTGCACCCTGTCAGGCGGAACGTATAGCACTGAGCATTGTGTGGCTAGGCAGGCATGACGTGAGAAATCTCCGACGTCCGATCGAAACACATACATCAAGAAGCTGGCGAAGAGTGCTGGGGACATCCACAGTCCACTGCGATACGAGGTGATCTTGAAGGTGCACGGCGTCGGTTGCGGTGCACGAAAACGCCGGCACGCCAACTGGAAAGCAGAAGCTGCTCACAGCTTGATCGTTGATCGGATGGATCGACTACAACGCTTGTCTTCATGCCACATCGCTTGCAAAGGGGCATGTACCGAAGGAGGGTACTGGAATAGCACCCTGGGTTTCCACCCGCACAACTTGTCGCTTTGGCCGTCCCCAGGCGGCGCGATGCCAGGCGCCGCCAAGAGGCCCGACACGAGAAAGTGTTCGAAGACGCGGTCTTTCTTTGTCTGGAAGCAAGTCATACTGCGCACCAAGTCGTGGAGGCGCCGCGAGTGCGCGTCTATGTGGCGCGGACTGCCGTCGATGCCACCAACGAACGACCGCGAGTACAACATGCGAATCATTTGGTTGTGGTCCTTGTCGCCACCGGGAAAACGATGGCGAGGGGAAAACATGTTTGGTCGGCTTGCAGAATCAATGGTGCTGGAACGCGTCGGACGACCTTCCTGCGGGGCGGCGCCGCCCATGCTCAACATCACGGGATGGTACAGCTGCCGACTGGTCGAGATCGACGTTGATGGCAATGATTTTGACGCTGCCGCGACGTCCTCGTCGGTGGATTCATCGTCGTCATCGTAGTCGATGTCGAAGGAAGGAAGGGTGGGGGTGAGCAATGCTGCGGTGTCGGGGGAGTCGCTTCGCATTCAAGGTGAGCAGCGGCGCGTTTGAGTATGCGTCCACGAACCTGAGCATCGTCGACACCTTGTGTATCATGGGACTGCAAGCGCTTGTGTGGTCTTGCTCGAGAAAGTAGATGAGCGCTCTGGAGAGCTCTCGTCGACGGTCGCGCTCGGCCAAGAACTTTCGCTTCCACTCAGACGCTTCCATCGACGCAGCTTCACATGCGCGCTATCCACTGGCGTTAGAGAGCAAAGTAATCGAACAAATACGACGCTCACCACTGCTTCTTCCCACTGTGCTTGCCACGTGCTCGCGCAGTTGCATGGCGAGGATGCGATCATCACAGGTCGAGAGCTGCCACTACAACCCCACTCAAGATCCGCGACAATGTCGTGGAAGCCGTAAAAAAAAGAGGCATTTCCTTGTCGCACACTTGAAGTTCGTATACGTGCCGAGTATTTTGCTCCAACCGGAAAAATATTGTGTTGCTCAGCGTCGATCGAATCGTTGCAACGCCGCGGCGATCCCGACGGCCGCCGTAACGGCACGGGCGGATGGCACCCAAGTCTGCAGGACTGAGCTACACTGGTGTGTGAAAGCCGCTCTGGGCACAGCTGCTTGCCGATTCGAACGGCTAACAAGCCATGGTAAGCCTAGCTAAAGAGGGCCGCGGCTGGCGACTACTTTACGATATAAGACGAGTCTCGCTCGGCGCGGTGGGCTCGACTGGCTCGAATACTTGGTGGTGGCCTGCATAATCCATTGACTAGCATAGCTATGGTGCAGCAGTGTACCTCGGATCTATTTTTTCGTCGGTTTGGAGCTGGCGCTGCCAACATTTCAAGGGCAATACGAACCTGAGCTGGAAGAACAATGGGGCAAAGTGGGCTTTGGATATGAAGCGTACTGGCGAACTGGTAGGCGTAGGCAGGAAAGAACCTGACGGAATGGCGGAGCCGTCGCAGCTGCAACTGCGTTGAAAGTCCCCCGATGATAATTAGATATAAAAGAGAGCCCTTGTGTGCGAGAGATTGGTGGTCCGATGGAGCCTTTCAGAGTGGCTAAATGCCATGAGCGTTGATGGCGCATCCCAGCCAGAGAGCTCGGCCGCGCAGGCGTCGGACCAGTGTAGCCGGCAGGCCAGCAACCACCACAACATGCAGTTGGTGTAGCAGGTTTCGAATACAACTACAGCCAGATATTAATTTGCAACTGTAAATTAAAAGTACGAGGCAATCAATCGAAATGTATTGGAATTCGGCGACATTTTTGTACTCGATATTTTAATTACAGCTCAAGCTAGAAACCTCGATTTTCTCGCGCTCCACCCGAGCGAGAGCGAACTCGCACCGAGCTAGCATCCACCAAACGAACGCGAACGCCTCCTAGCCATCCCCACCACGCACATGCCAGTGAAGGACTGCACCACCGACAACACCGGGGAGACAAGGGAGTACCCCTCAGACCTCGGTCGACTCGCAGACATCTCGGTGGACATGAGGTATTTGCACTCCACATTCAACTGATCGTTCGCTGTGTGCTTGTGAGCCTTGCTTTGACAATGCGAACGAAGCATGTGCTCAACGCAGAATTTCATCACCACGTTGGCCAGTTCAGAGAACGCTTCTGTCGGCAATACGCATCGACCAGTGCAGCATCCCATGCAGTTTGTCCTTCACGAGTCCTTTTGTAGACCATATGCGAGTGAAAGCAGCGATTCCGAAGCGGACGTGTTTGCCGCCACAGATGCCCGCAAACTCCGCATGTTGGCCGCCGTCGACAAAACGGAGGAACTCAAAGACTACGTACTGACGGCGATGCGGCAATTGTCGCGGATGAGTTCTGGACTTGCGATGCTTCTCCCCACGTCGTCGCTGCACCAAGCCAGCCATTCGACCATGGACGACACAAATCCTCGCGGGGCTGACCTCATGGGACGGGTATGGCACAGCCTCCACAAAGTTAGTGCAGCTGTGAACTCACTTGCGCGGCACTCGACGACCGGTCGCGACCCTTACTTTGAAGCGTTGGATCTAACCCTCCTACCCCCCGACCCGACGATGGCGCTCGAAGCAATTCATGCAAAGCTTTACGCTCTCAGACATAAACTCGTCGCGCCTCTCCAAAAAGTCGATGCCGCCGCGCGACCGCTTCTCATGTCTGCGTGGGAGCAAGGCCACGCAGCGTCCCACGAACATGCTGCGACTGCCGTGACATGCTGGACTACCAAAGCCGCCGAATTGCATGTGCGAGTCCAAGCCGCCATCGCGGAAACCCCTCGCTCGGATGACAACGGCACAGCGCTCCTTCTGCGAGACGTCAAGGACTTCCTTGGAACAATGCGCCTCATTCATGCCCCAGCCTTGACAGCGGCGTCGGTGCGACAGGCACAAGCTGTGAATGAGCTCGTGGCGGCGTTGCAATCGTCTCTGCCAAGCTCCATCGCCGCCGACGTCCCCCATCGCCATACACCGGCAACATGTACAACGCGATGCGTTCGAAGGCGACGGTGATTCTCACGGGAGCTGTCTCTAGGGGAGATGGCCAAGGTACCTCAAGCTTCATCCAATCCATCTCGCCGGCCGTCAGGATCGCAGAACCAGTCACACGGGAAGGACCGACTACATACGAAGGACCCCACAGGAAGCCCTCGGCATTATGCCGACATGAAGAAGCGGAAGGAAGCGCCGTCGACCGACCTGTTTGAACACCAACAGCAGACCTCCCACGAGAAGAAGGCGCGACGGCCAAGTACGTCGCCATATGCGGCGTGGAGCCTTGGCCACAAGGAACGAGACGTCAAAAAACACGATGCCACGTCCCTTCCCATGGCGCCGACGATTTCGTCCACTGCACAGCAACTTGCCGCGTCGGCGCTGCAAGCATCGCCGTCGTCATCCCGTCGAGGTCGCCCGGCCTTCCACGGTGCGTCGTCTTGAACACACAAACGTCGGGCATAACGTTCATCTCTCGCAGATGCATCGGCAGCGCTTCCTGGAACGCCGCCGACGGCGGCATCCGATGACAATGTAGCATCGATCCCATCGCCAACAGTGTCACCGTCCCGCGTTGTCGGGTGTGAAAAGTGCCGCATGAACAACAACCACGACAAGATGCTGCTGTGTGACAACCACTGCGGCCGAGGTGCGTCGATCGCGCGCGTCGACTGTTCTCATGCTGTCGAGGGCTAGAGTACCACATGTACTGCCTCGAGCCGCGGCTAGACGTTGTTCCTGAAGACGACTGGTTCTGTCCAGAGTGCGTCAAGGTCGCATGCTTGGCCGTCAAATGCAATCGCTTTTGTGTGTTCAACCAACGCTACTGCCCGCGCCACCTGTGCAAGGAGAAAGGATGTTCGTACCGATGCAAGAAGCAAGGGTACTGTGGCAAGCACTCGAAGCTACACGTGTACGAGCCGACCCACCGCGGCGGCCACGTCGGGGGCCCCACCGACGCGTTCGACGAAGACGACGACGAGTACATGGCGTCGTCCAAGCAGTAGCGAGCTCCCGTTGACGACGATAAAATAAATTACGGTTCCACACACCACTTTGTCGATCACGCTGCCATGCTCCGCTTCTGGTGCGTGTCGTGGCGGCGACAATACCCGCGGCCGCGCAGGCGAAAATTGCACCCTTTGAAGCGACAACTGTGGACGGCACAGTACCTTGTGACACTGATGCGTTTGCAGTGCAATGCGGCGCACAAATACACTTGGCCGTCGCCAGACAACCCCAACGACTCCATGCAGTCCGGACAGAACCACGATCCCTCGTCGGGTGGACCGGACAGTTCGAGACAAGCGGCATGGTATTGCTTGCCGCAGCTATTGTCGCATGACATCAAGGCCTCCGCCGTCTCTTCACCGCAAACGGTGCATCCAGCGAATGTGGCGGCACGTGCGCGCTTCGTAGGGCGGGTCGACACAGGGACAGGAGACGATGGTGGCGATGGACCTTCTAGAAAATGAGATGCTAAGCACGAAGGGATACGATGCGGTACCTTGATCGTGGTCGGCTTCTCGCCGCATCGCATTGGCGAGATCACGTGCTTCCGTCGCCAAAAACTCGAACCTTTGAACGTTGTGTTGGTGAATCCCTCGGCACAACTGATCAGAAGACTCTTGGATGGCCAATTTGCGAATGTCAGTGGATTCATCGCGCACGAGGTTGCACAGTGATACGGACGACACAAAGTCGAGGCACTGCTCAATCAAGGCGTGGTGGCTACCATCACAGCTGCTTGTCGGGTTGGGGGTAGCCAGAGCATCTTGCAATTTGACGCGCAATTCCGCGGCGGCATTTCGCCAACACGCCAGGTTCATACGGGCTTCGTGTCGACTCAACTTTTGTGCGGTTTCCCACAACTGTTCCATGCTTGGCCGGACGATGGGCATCAGCTCGTTGGACGCAGTCGACCGAATCGAGTCCACAATATGGCGAAATGCAGTCAAAGACACACTCATGTTGTCGACAGCATCGCTGGGGTCGCTTTGTATGCTATTGAGAGTCGGGCCGGCGTAGTCTCCGTTCGCTCCGTTGTCCCGCAGGAGTGCAGTCACGCATTGGCTCAAGTCATGCAGCCCCTGCGCCAGGCGCTTGCTCGGAGCACCATGAAGGCTATTGAGTTGTACGGAAACCTTGCGCTTCGATGGTTTTCCATTTCGTCGAGCCCCGCGTCCTGTTCCAGCTGAAGAACCTCCTGGTGTAACTCGGATATCTTGTATCTCGATCTCAATTGGAGGAGATTCTTCCGAATCGACATCCTTGCCAGTGCTGTAGTCAGACACAACGGGTTGATTGCCATGATCGTCGTCGCTACCACCGTCGCTCTCGCTCTCGGAGTGGAAGTCGTCGTCGTAATACTGGGAGAAGGTCACCATATTGTGGTGCGCGTCCACACTCGCAATGGGGGACTGTTTGAATCGCTTCATGCGGTCCGACATTTCCGCAAGCCTGTCCAATGCAGACGCGGCCATGGCATCTTCGTCGGCGTGCCGTTTCTCGCAGGACATGACGCGCATGCTCCGGCCCTTGTGCCCACTCGCAAAATGACTGCGTTGTTCACTGAGCGAAAAGATATGGCATCTCGTGGTTGCACTTTTGACTTGAACTTTGTATGCCATGAGCACGCAATTTTAGAAAGCTTCACCTTTCCGGATATTTTCGGATACCACCTTTCGAAAAATGGCCACGTCATGCAGCGCGCAATGGTGGCGCGATGGACCTCGCGCTCACGACGCCCGCGCTACAGCAATTCTCACAGACCTCATGCAAAGAATATAGCGTTCAGATACCCGCCGCGGCATGCTTGTGGATCTCAACGACCCTGCTTGCTGGGGCGCATGAACGTGTGTTTGTTCGTGACGGTTAGCACGACCAACGTCGTTGTGGACGGCATGCAATCGTCATCATACATGCACTGCTCGTATTCACGGCGCAAGCTCCAAGCCTGACAATTATAGCGCCGCGATTGACGCACATGCTACTTCACCTGTAACACCACACGACGCTTGCTTGCCGCGGAAGAGTTCTCGGGAGCACTTCCCCGCCGCGATCTGTGTTCTCGCCGTTGACACGGCCGTTTCAGATACGGGATCGTTTGAGTCTCGCAACTATACGATATTCCTGTGAAGAAACTCAATTCAGTTCGATTGAGTTTCGGTTGATCGCGCTCGAGACATCAGTCGTGGCATCACCGCAGGATCAGCGCAAGATCCTGACCACAACCAGCGCGCAGTCAATCTGAAATCCCCGGCAAGTGTGTTCGAAGCGGCAGCCACGCCGTCTGTGGCGAACAAGTCGACGAAAGGACGCATCTTTATGCCTGCGGTAGCACCAAAGACTACGTATACCGAGTTATCGTCGTCGGACGGCTCGCTGCGTTCGCGCGAAGAGGTAAATCGCCTTCGCATTGTACATCCAGCTAGCTCAACGGCGTGGTAGGTGTCACCGAATGCGTCGGGTAACGGATGCACTTGACCTTGGTATCATTCCATTGACTCTGGTGCTAGGCCTACGTCCGCCATATTTGTCATCGGCGAGTGGAGGCCCGTCAGCGGGTGAACTCAACATCTCCTCTCCAGACGTTGTCGTTTCTGCCGGTCACAGCAAGCGAACGTCCAAGCACCAACGGTCCACAGGAGATCGAGACATGCTCTACGTCCCTACATGCCGCGACACGCTCCGAAAACACGTCAACAGGTGCGTCGACGGCACCCTCGATTCGTTCCTCAGCTTACCGAGCTTCGACACGATCTCAGTTGGATTGGCGTGTACCTGGAAGTTCTCAACACGGCGTTAAGTGTCGTGTGCTGCGCATTCTACCTCATCGAGGTGGCGTCGACTGTCTCATCGTGTGCAGCTGACCGACGACATCACGTAGTTGTACTGCCCGACCCTGTACGCGGACTTGCATTTTCGGCTCATTGAAGTCGGCGCGACAGTCTTTTTCGCTCTACATTACGTACGTCTCTCTCCATCCTCACGGCGATGCCGCTCCTGACGTCGTGGCAGGTGCTTCATCTCTTCTCCGAGGATGACGTGGGTGCGTTTGTCCTGTCATTCAACGGGATCATTGACTTGACGATTGCACCGTCGCTCATCATGGTACGAGTCCTCCGCGACGTCGACGTCTCCGTAATCGTTGGCATGCATCCCGACATGCGCGTCCAGTACTTTATCGACGACCCGTCGTCGCGAGCGCTCACGTTGTTCCGCGTCTTTCGCGTCTTTCGAGCACTTCGCGTGCTCCGCCTGCACAACCTCATTCGAAGTCGCAAGCACGGGTACAACTACGAGTGGGGCGTGTTTGTCTTTTCGCTGTCGGCCATTATCTTTGTCGCGGCGGGAATTTTCCATGCGTTGGAGGACTACCCAGAACGCGACCGCCAGCTGCAGTTTCACAACTCGCTCTACTACATTCTCGTGACACTGTCGACAATTGGTACGGGGAAGCGACTTGTACAGGGTGATAGCTGCATCCCACACGCGCTGCGTAGGCTACGGGGACATAGTGCCGACTCGAACACTGACTGAATTCTTCGTGATGGGGCTCATCATTGTCGTCGTCACGACTGTGCCAGCGCAGATCTCACGGCTCCATGACTTGCACGTGTCCATGAAGGCTTACGATGGTGCGTATACAAGCCGTCCAGGTCGCGGCCACGTGATTGTGTGCGGCCACGTCGTTCACGACAGCTTTGCCGACTTTTTGGCCGAGTTTTACCATCCATCGCGCGGCGTGATCAACTTTGATGTGGTCGTGTTGTCGCCGGACCCGCCGTCGTCAGCCATGACCCGCATGCTGTCAAACGTAGTTTATGCCAACAAGACGACGTTTCTCAAAGGTGTCATGTGTTTGGGCGAGAAAGGTCCATGGTACTTGCATTGAGCTCGTTGCTGTTCTAGGGTCCCTCGTCCATGATGTCGACCGCAAGCGCACCATGCTCGAGTGTGCCGAAGCCGTGTTTGTGCTCGCTGACAAGGATGCCCGTGCGACGGAAGCCCAGGACGCCTCGACGCTTTTGCAGGCCCTAAGCATCCGAAATTATGCCGACAGGTGCGACGAAATATGCTGCAAAACCCCATGTCGTTGGTCGACGTAGCACCGGGTGCAACATTCGCATGTACTTGCAAATGCTGTCGGATGTCCACCACGAGCTATCCCACATCATAGGAGCCAACCAGGTACTTGAACGATGTATTGCGTCGAGAGGCTCGGATGTCGATGCAGATAATCCACGCAAATCAAGTCAAGGCTGACTTGGTCTGCCGCGGCGTCGTCTGCCCTGGCAGCTGCACGCTCATTCTGAACCTCATGCAGTCGGTGGACCAAGTCAAGATGAAAAAACACGTTGCGCACCCCACGCCATGGATGCACGAGGTAATAATCGTGGGAGTCGGAATGAACCGGGGGACATGCTTTAATTGTAGTATATTGGTGGAATGAGCCAGCAAGTGTTTGCGGTGCTCTTTTCGGCCGGGTTTGACGGTCATCTGTATGACGACGTGGCGCGGCGATTCTTTACTGGGTACGTCATATCGAGTGCGAAGGAAGTGGCGATCGGTGACGGTAGATTTGACGTGGTGCTGTTTGCTGTCTACCGCCGTGAAAAGGACGAAGACACTCCACGCGTCACGCTGAGTCCGTTCGGAAAGACCATGCGCCCTGGGTATGTGTCTCCAAAGTTGCATATCCCATCGCCGCGACTTGATGTTGGACGAAGGGACATTGGGTTCATCTTGTCCACGTCAGCCTCCGTCGTGCACGCAATCCAGTCGGAGTATTCCGCAGTCGTCGAGGGAGAAATGTCAGCACCCAGTCCGCGCCATTCGTCGCAACGATCGATTCCAGTCGTATCCAAATCCAACCTCCTCCAACGCAAATTCGTTCGCAAGGTTACATTGGCCCCAACGATCCATCCATCCTCCACGCCACCGGCTACGGGCACGATGGACTCGGATCCGAAAACAGTCCTGGAAGCTCAACTCTCCGACGCCACAAGGAAGGACATGATGGACATGCAAGACCACGTTGTCGTGTGCGGTGCCACAAGACACATCCTACCGCTCGTTGACGTCCTTCGCGCCATGTACGCGTCGACGACGCATCTCGCTGAGCCTGCGTCGCCGCCGCCGCTCGTCCTGCTCGTGAATCACATCCCAACAGCCAACGACTTTGGCCATGACTATGTGCTACCGCCAGATGTGTACTTTGTCCGCGGCGTGTCGACGCAATGCCCGGACCTCTCACGTGTGTCCATCCAACGCGCGAAGGCCGTGCTCTTGTTTCCACTTGAACGGTCCCATCAACCCGCGACCATCGACGACGCGTACCTACTCGATTACGGCGTTGTTACGTCGCTCTTGTGTTTGGAAACAACGTGTGATAACGCCAAGGCCCAACAAACCTCGAATGGTCGAAGCGCGGCGACGGTCGCACGGGACGAAGTCGCGTTCTATGCCAACAGGAACGTGCCGTTGCAGGACGTTCAGAACCGCATGCTCGAGCACTTTCCGACACTCAACCCCGACGTGTTTCGTGCACCATCCATCGAAAACATGAGCCGACGGCTCTCGGCATGCCCTGGCGAAGCATCGACGTCGTCGTCGGTGGCCGTCGCGTCGACGTTTTTCAGCGATCTAAAGTCCATGGCGGTGCTCCAGCGCGGGTCCAATATCAAATTCTGTCGCCCGCGCGACGTCCTCTTCAGCTGCGATTCGCTCCCGTATTTGTCTCCAGCGTTTGCCGCCGGCCGGGTCTTTGTCGATAGCCGACTCGACCTTGTCCTGTGCCAGGCCTTCTACAACCCTTACATCACAGAGCTTCTACATCTACTCACGGGCAACCCATTGAATCCGGATGCCCTTGCACATGGCCCGATTCTGACCCAAATCGACATCCCGGTCGAGTTTGTCAGCGGTCGGTACGGTGACCTCGTCCTGGCAATGATGCGACTGGGCAAAATCGCGCTCGGGCTGTATCGATACCCGAACATTCGGTTGGGAAATACTGTGCCGTACGTGTTGACGGCGCCCCCAAGCGACACGGTTGTGTTTCACCATGACAGGTTGTTCGTCATCGAAAATCATCATCACTCGGGGTAGAGACGAATAGTCGTGTGAAGGGGTAATACAGCGCCGGCGTGAGCGTTCGTGATATTGGGAAACCACTATTTCTTCTTGGCAGGAGCTTTTGCCACTGGCTTAGGTGGGGCCAACTTGGCTGGAGGGGCCGAAGCTTTTCCAGCAGCTTTTTTCGGTCCTCCCGCCATCGCCGATCGCTGAAATCGTGTCGTGAGATCACAACATTAACGGAGAAATGACGCACTTCTGCTTTTTCTTTGCAATGGGGAATATGGCGCTCAGCTGCTTTCTCATTGAACCGTCGTAAGCAATATGCACATTGCACGAGACTTGGGTCAATTTCGGCTGGCTTGGGCGGTGGCAGCTCCCTTATGTACATTCTCTCAGCCATATTGATGAGAATCGCGTAAGCCAAACATGAAACCGTACCGGCCTTCTTTCTTGGCTTGCTCGTAGTCACGGCTGCCTTTAATAGCATCCCGGAATGCACTACTCTTTTTCTTCCAGTCAGCTTTCTTGGCAGCAGCTTCATCGTTCTTGGTCTTTGTTTGTGCCGCTGCGGACGTTGCTGCTTTGATCGAAATGCCCTTTTCTTGAAGCATCTTTTCAACATCTGTGCCTTTGAGACGTGCCGCCTGTTGATCATGACATCAGTGGTCAGCAATACGCGAAGGAAAGCCAAGTTGAGCAATTGTCGTACAGCCATGTTGAAGACTTTCTTTGGCCCTTGAAATACTTTCTTGCAGATTTTCTTCCGCATAGCTGTGTTAGAGTTTGAAGCCGACGAAGATATATCTACCTGATGCTTGATAATCGCAGTCGCATTAAATTTGCGATGGCAATCTGGGCATTCGTGGTTTGCACCATCATCTTGGACTTCACTATCCTGCACGTAGCTTTGACAAGGTGTTCTACCAACACGTTTGAAAAGTGCGTACCCCATCAGGCACTCCATCGAAGACGCTTGGCGGTGGTTCGAATGCTGCAACGGGGGGTGGTGGGCGGCGCTTCTCCGGCACAGCGAGTGCCTGCGGCATTGCAGGAGGCTCGCGGGCCGAGTGCACAACATGCCGCGGCTTGTCGTCGTCGATGAACATGGACGCCGGTTTCGTTGGCGCACTGCGACTCTTTCGGCGTGACATTTTCGACTTGAGCAGCGACAATGAATTTTGGTCCACGGTCTAAAATAATGAGTTCAATGAAATCGATGTTATTGAGGACGTACGAAGGATGAGTCGGCCACAACTGAAGGATTCTGCTTCATTGTTCGCTGGCGCGCCAAAGGAGCTGGGGCCGTTTCGACGGCACTGGAAGGATCGCATTGTCGGCATCGGCAACTCGAGTTGCGCGTGCACGTGTCACCTCCGCCCCCCTTCGCAAAGTTGGGCTTGGTCTCCCGTGCAATGACTTTACCCGTGCGCGTCTTGAGTTCGTTCGACAGTGTGTCGTGCTCTACAGACATTGAATAGATTGAACAGAAAAAAATCTTACCAGGCTCCTCGGACTCGTAAGGTTGGTACGTTTCCTTCGTCTTGGAGCTGGTTTGCCGCGAGTACGACCCCGACAAGCGGTCCAACGAATCGGAAGAGTCATTCGGCTGCATTTTGGGTGGCTGGTTCGATCGTTTTACATTTGACGCAGCTCGACGCTTTGGGGGGCTTGAAGGAGGTGGAGACTCAGAACGAGGAGAAGTTTGTTCGACTTGTTGGTTGTGGAACTTGGACTTTATCGTTGGCGATGGTGGTTGTTGTGTCGATTGAAACTTGGATCGAATGGGAGGGGATCCAGGGGGGGCGGATTGCTGTGGTTCATTGTTGTCGTCGGTTGTTTTTCTTGGATTTACTCTAGTCGTTGATATCCATGTGCGTGAAATTGTCATGGCCTTCGACTCGAGATGCTATTGTGTATGCACTTACTTCGGAGCAAAGGTGCATGCGTCGCTAACGACACCTCGGGAACGAGCATCGCGCAGCTCTTTTGCTCGCTCCTTAGCAGCCTGTTGCTTCTTGGCGTGCTCGGATGGGTCGTAACGGAGCTTCGATTCCTTCTGCATGAGTCCGTCGTGGGAAAAGGGCGCGCCTTGGAGTTATTCTTCCACTGTCGCCGTTTCGCATGGATTTGAAACCATTCGGATGTGAGCGACAACGTATCCGGATACTGGATACACCATCCTCATCGGCGAGATGCGGTGCGCGGTCGTCTGGTGCGTACTGCGGAAGGAAGAGCTGTGGTGGGCTCTACTTGATCAAGGCTGTCCTTCCTCGTGCAGTGGATCAATGAGACCTTGATGCAACAGCCGACTGCTGCAGGTCGAAACACTCGGGTTTCCCATATTATCAACTTGTACAACGCAGTCTACTCGTCAGCCGGTTGGTACACCGGGTTTTCATCGAAGTTGGCCGGTCGTTGTCCAGGCTGTTGAATGCGATTCCACGGTAGCAACGTTTGCAAAAAGAGCAAGAGCGGGTGAGCGTCAGCGGGCAAGTTGCCGCCATTCCGCGCTTGTTCAGCTTCCAATTGCGCTTGCAACTGCGCGATCATGGCAGGATCCATGTTGTTCACATCCAAGTCCATGCCATCCAATTCCTGTCCTGGTTGCATCATCATCGGATGGTCTGGCGGGAGCGTCGTCACGTCGTCCGAGAAATCTGCCATTCCCAGTCACATCCTCGACTACACCCCGACAAATCCTCCCTACCTGGGCTGATCGCACGCTTGTACTTGTGCACCAAGGGTGGCAACTCGGTCACAAAAGTCGCACGGTTGTACGACGCGCTCGCCTTGGTCGCTGATTGCAGCAAAAACGCCTGGATTTCGTTGACTTTCCACAGGGACGCGTGGCGGGTCACGTAGATGTGCAGCAAGTGGGACACGATCCCGTTGTCGTCCAAGTGGGGGGCATTTGCAAACACGGCCGAGCAAATGACATCTTGCCACGATTCTATGACGAGACAGCCATGAGATACAGAGAATTGTTACGTTCGCGAGTTGGCACGCACTAGAGGTCGTCGTGATCCCGCATTTCTCCGTCAGCGGGACGAGCACTTGTGGAAACTTGGACAATGTCGCGGCCAAGTCGTCAGTGGCACGGACGACATCGCCAAGCAAGTACCTAGCCAACAATAGGTTGTCAGTTCGACAGTATTGGACACACGGACACCGACCGAGCCAAGGCGGCAGACAACTGGAGTCCTGGGAGCTCCGCGACCGTGACGAGCGCCAAACTCGGCACTGCGACCGACTTGTCCGTTCGAAATACCACCTCAGTGTTCGAATTGACCAAATCCACGACAAACTGGCACTGGCGCGCCGACAGCGCGTAATAGTCCAAGCACAACAGCACGTGCATCGGGTCGCCCTTGGGATCCAAGCTCCAGATGAGCTTTGCAATCTCGAACGCACTGCGCACGCATCCCCGACGTCCAACCTAGGTGGTTCCCTGGTTCATGTACGCCCTTAGGTACGACGCGCAGGTACCTGTCGCATGAGGAAGAAGAGTGCGCGGAAGAACGACTTGTTGTCGCCCGCGGCAAAATCCATCCGACAAAGCCCCGAGTTCACGCTGAAGTGCTCGCCCCACGCCAGTTCCATGAAGTAGACGCATCTGCATCGCATTGCAATCATTAGCGACTGCCTCGAGGACACGACTGGCGCAGTACTTTTTGATACACTCGGTCGAGTGGTCCATTTGGCCATGGTGCTGAAACACTTCAGCCATCTGAAGTAGCGCATCAACATGGTACGGATGCTTGTGCAGGAAGTGCACGATGCTTTGGGGATCATGGGTCATTTGGAGCACGCGGAATTGTTCTTGCATCTGCGATGGATATACTTCAGAATAACGACGGACTTGGCCTTCTATGGAGACTGACCTTCTTGTACTCGATGGACCAGTCGATCTGGAAATAGTCGCACCCGTACTCCCATGACGAACACGGCGGCTTGTCCACGCGAGTCCATCGAATGCCTCCACCGACAAAGGTGGGTGGACGAGGCCACGTATCATCCGGAGTGACGAGAGTGACCTTTTTGGTCGTTCTCCTGGCCGTGTTGCTATCCAAAGATCAGAGCATTGTGATGTGGGAGAGACGAACCGAGGCGGGCCTTTTTTCAAGCTCTTAAGGCTTTCCCGAGCGTCCTTCACCTGTACAAGCAATGAACATTTAACAACACAAGCTTCCTGATCCCCGTTCATACCCCAAACAAGCGCTTCATTTCTTTGTCTGCATTCAATGCTCCGACGTTGACGGCAAGGAGAGCATTTCGTTCGGTAGCAGGAGTTGCAAGTAACGCTGGCTTTTCCTCGTCATCCAAGTTGGTTTGGCTCGCCAAAGCGTCAAGCAAATCGTCGTCATCGTTTTCGGCCGTTGCTTGCGCATTGTTCCTGCCCATATCCCCCCCTGAATTCTAATGGATTCATAGGGACAATACCGACTTTTTCTTGGCCTGCTTCTTCTTTGCCTTCTTCGACGGCGCCGGGGGTGGTGTAGTTTTCAAATTGACAATAACAGCGTCGTCGTCAGAATCCTTGTCGTCATTGCTCGACACGTCCGAATCATCTGAATCGTCGAGGAGGAACTGGAAGCCTGCCGAAGAACCCTTCGTCTCGACGACTTCTTCTTCTTCGTCAGATGAGTCTCCCTTGCTTTGGATTACTTGGTTGATGCGTCTTGCTTGTCGTGCAGACCTACACCCCTCGCCGTCAACTCAAGTTCACGGTTCCATCCATCAAGAATTACATGACGACGACGCCAACAATACAGTACAGTAGTCGAATGCGCTGCGATTACCCATCCGGTTATCTGCTCACACGCATCCGGATCATTATCGCTTTATCCGGGCGATATTCATGTTAGTTTGAACATGCATATCCGGATACTGGAATCAACACTCACACAAACAATGTTTTGGACGAAAGGTCACATGGGCGCCCTCTCGGCAACAAAATGGGCAACGAAATGAGAAATTCATGGCAAGTTAGGGGAGGAAGCAGCATGTATAGACGAAGGAAAGAGTGTTCGGCGATGGTTAGGCAGGTTAAATACTAGTCGCGAATTTCATGTCTAAGCGATCGTAGCGAACGCAACCAAGGATGGCTTCGGGCAGCTCGTCTTCCGACTGGCCTTCAACCACGAGTGCCATGTCCACCACCAGCGACGCCACGCACATACGGCACATGGATGTCACCTTCTTCGCGATCGAATCCGAACTGACGTCGACGACCGCCTCCAAGTAATTCTTGCCGCGGAACCATTGCACCTCGAGCGCGTTGGCAAGGATGAATGGTTTTGACCCCACGGCCTTCCGAATCATCCACGGCCCTTCGACGACCCGAGGAATGAGCTTCAACCGCGCATTGCGAAACTCGTCCGTGCCATCCATGAACGCTCGCCACAACTTCGAGAACGCGTCCGTGACGCCGTCCGGTCTTAACGCAAAGTACTGCGCGTACATTACTTCTGGGGTTCCCGGCAGCAAAATGTTGAGCACAAATAGCTCGCGCTGTGGGAACATGTCGGTGAAATGGCGCACAACACTGTCAGGTCGCTGTGAAATGTGAAAAAACGTGGACCGTTCTCCTTGGAGCACGTCGACCCAAATGAGCTCGCACTCTACAATACACGATGGGCTTCCACAGTTGCAGGAGAGTGCGTCGAGGGAGGAGTGCTTACTTGCTTCGTCAACTTGCTCTTTGACGCTGGTGGTCAGGTACCGTTTGCTGCGTACTTTGAAATCGGCGGCCGGCTCACTCCAGTTCGTCGTAATTTGTGGATGCTGCGTCACGAGAGGTGCGAGGGTGGATTTCCACGACCCTAATGTGAACATCGAGAGCGTAAAACAGTGGCGGGCAATCACCGAGTTCGAGCGAACCCGTTTGGGGGAGACCGCTATTGCTGCCACGATCGTTCAAGTCCGCAGTGGATTTCACGGACCGGGAGTCTAGCGTCTCCGAGATGACAGTAGCGTCGGTGGACGGAGTGCGGGCCTGGAGCATCGCGCTGTCGCTTCCAAAACAAGAAGTCTGACACAATACCTGCGATGGATGCGAGGCTATACTTACCCGCCAATCCAAGAAAGGCTGGATGAAAACCGTCCAGAGCCATCATGGGGCAACGAAATTGGAGATCGTGCTCAAGGAGTGAATTCGTTGTTTCATGGAGGCACATCCACCAGAATGAACACTACAAGTGGCAGCGCGGCGACGGGTGTCGCGAACCCCACAATTTTGTGGAGTCTCTGCTCCGTTTTGTGGAGTCGTGGTGCTTGGCGTGAAGAATAAATAGCGATCAGTGTCTTCAACCGAGTCCCTGGAACGACCGCAGGTTCGGCAAACCGGCTGAGACGTTCAGGCCTTGACTAAGTAGAAGGGGTCGTATTCGAGTTGGGATGGTGGGATTGCCGCCGAGTTGCGTGGCCCACGCAACCTGGTCCAAACGATGGATGAGTGAGGCGGTATATTCTAGTGGAAACAGCATGCGGCATACTCGTCGTGGACAGGACGCGTCGTGACATTGTGGAGGACCGACTCGTCGCTGTTGACGACGTCCAGTTCTTTCAAGGGGCGATGGATGCCGTAGCAATGTTTCTTGGAACTATAGCACACCACGTCAGTGCGCGAAAAAAGCAACAAAAGAAAGTGGACCTCCGATACGAATTCTGGTGCTGCACGCCAGCGGACGACGTGCGGCAACGAAACGAACAAAATTCAAACAAGGTCAAGTCGGACGAGGGCTGGCCATACACGGGATGCCTTGGGTCTGCATGGGCCATAAAGGCATGGACCAGTGCGGTCTATGCTCGAGCGCTACGATGAGTTGACGAGCATGACACTGCTCGACGTACGTTGGTAGGGCCCATGCAGCATGACACACATCGTTCGTACGCTGAACAGCAATGTGGTGCTTCCACGTCGCATGTGCTGCAACTAAATCGGCCGCCGTCGCTGCAGCACCCCGTTGGCATGAGATTGCTTCGCTTGCATGTGATGCCGCGGGCGTCCGTTGCGTAGACTAAACCGTGGACAGTGTTTTTGCATTGACCAGTCCATGGCTCAATGTAAAACGTATCACGGCGAAGGTGCGACTTTGTCTTTTGGCTTGGAGGTACATCCACGAGGATGTGCGCATGAATTGTGTCGTCGGTGGGTTGGTGCGGATGCCGGTAGTGTTGATTGTAGTACTGATACGGAATAGACACGGCAAATCGAACTACTGTCGCTGCCACGAGCAAGAGGAGTAGCGTGAGCACGGGCGTCATGCGTCGCCGCTGTTGCCAGGACGGTGATGGGCACCGCGAATTGAAACACCGGATGTAGTGGTAATCCAACGCAACAAAGCACAACGCGATCGATCTTTCGACCCATACAGCGCTTCGTCGACCCATTTCCTTGATGACTTCCCATGTGTACGCTGCAACGGCGAGTTGGCGACTCCATGAGAACGATGATCTCTCTGGCGTCGCAGGCGGCGGGGTTCGAGGAGACGTATCGAAGGCCAAGGCTGCGCGAACGGACTGCGTTCTATCGTATACTCGTTCTTGCCGTTGCATGATTCGGCGACGAATCTGCCACGGCCCACAAGTTGTCGACGGCGCTCGGACTTGGGATGGAGCGACCGGGTCCTGCTCACTCTTGTATGAAGCTGAAGGCGACGTTAAATTACGGTCGTTGGTTTTAAGTCGTTCAACCCAACCTAACTGCCTTGAAGGTGAGATAAAACCTAAGTGCGTTAAACAACGTTATTCTCGATTCGCTGGTACTATGTTGGTTCGGGTTGGTGCATCCAGTACATGGGAAGGGGTCGCAGGTCATGGTGGAGAGGGCGCTCACGGCGAAATGGAGCTCGTTCCGGTGGAGAACTTGGCCTTGCGCGCAGAGACGACGTATCCGACAGTAAGACAGACGAACGCGAACACGGTCCACCACGTCACGATGCGGAACCCCGTTCGGTACGTGCAAGCTTCGTTGCAAGACCAGCCGAGTTCGACGGGGGTGTTGGACAAGATGAAGTCCATGACAAGACCGGGGATGTAGTTGGACGCAGCGTACCCAAGAAAGTTGTAGCTCGTGTTGGCAACCGACGACGCGAGCGGCCGCAGGTGCTTCGGCGCGCAGGAAATGACGATCCCCGAGCAGGACGGGAGGAGCGACGCGCCGCAGAAGAGCATGATCCACAGCAAGATCGCAATCAAGTAAGTGTTGGAGAGAAACGAGATTGGGAGAGACGCCAACACGCCAAGGAACCCCATGATCATGCAGATCTTGAGTGCTTTGGCTTCTTGGCGGGCGCCGGTGTACCCTCCAAAGTAGTCGACGAGCTTGCCGCCGAAAAACACCCCCAAGATCGGCCCAGTGCCGCTCACAATGAGGTAGTTCAAATGGATCGTGTAGGCCGAGTCGGTCGTGTTTGTTGTCAGGAACAGCGTGGTCCAGTATTGCACCCCCGTCACAACGAAGAATAGCGCCGACAACCCAAGCACCACTGACGTGAACACGGGCGTGCGCAACAAAATGCCGACGTTGTGCCAGTTGCTGTTGATATCGACATCATCGTCGCTGTCCTGGTCGATGGCGAGTCCCTTGACATCATCCAACGCTTCGGCCACGAATGGAATAGATCGCTGACGCGGCACACGCATGCGAATGTGAGCCTCCGGGACAAAGAAGACCCCCACCGCCAGCGGCATCACGATGACCACTTGGGCGAGGAACGGCCATCGCCAACAGAACAGATTGAAGCAGCTGGCGTAGCTCTGTCCAACCCAAACAGTCACCGAACCCATGAGGTAGCCCAGCGTGACACCAATGGGAACGGCACCTTGGAGGTAGCTCATCCAGCTGGCCCTCTGGGATTTTGGGGCGTAGTCATGGACCCAGAGCGGGGCATACACACAGAGGCAGGTCTGGGTGAACCCGATCGCGCCCCGCAAGATGATGAGGAGTGGCCGCGAGAACCAACCACCGACGGGCGTAAAGGCAAACGCGAGTACAAAGAGATTGTTCACGACAAGACTGCATCCGAGGACGATGCGTGGTGAGTAGTGGCGAAACAAATACCCGCAGATGGGCGAGCCAAGGGACAACGCAATGTACACAATCGCGCCAAGGAGGCCTTGATCCTGCGGCGTCAACTCGAACGCTTCAGTGAACTCCAAGAGCACGGCGGGCACCACGCCAGCTTCCATGTAGACGAAAATCTGCGCAAAGATGATGTACTTGAACAGGTACGTTGCAGCGTCGGGAGCTTGCCTCGGTTCGGTGCGCTTCCAGGACCCATCGACGACAGGAAGAGTTTGCTTCTGCGTCTGGTACGACGCATTGCCGGTCGCCTGCTTGAGCAGTGCTTCCGACTCCACGACCATGTTGAAAGCAGCACTGCCACCGTCGGCTGGCGTCGTCAACAAGGATGTTCATGCGAGGCACCATGTGTTTTATTTATTGAATTTTCCATTGCGTATACAAATGACTATATTAACCGTTGAGAATTGGTCGTTGCACTGTAATTAAATTTCACTTCGTTGTTTGTGTGAGGTTTTGCCCAAGACACCTTTTGACTTCTCATAGACGATGGAGTGGCCTTGGTGGGAAAAACACATTGTGGACTTGGGAAATACACGTCGATTTTATCAGCATTGCATTGGTGTTCGTGCGATGCACCATGAGCTCCTGTCAGCAACGGCGCTCTAGGACGGCTGATGCCACGACCAGCTTCCAGAGAGGAGGGTGGTGATGGGCACGCGGACCTGCTCCATGCTGTCACGTTCTCTCACGGTGACAGACCCATCCTCGAGCGTCTCAAAGTCCACCGTGACACAATATGGTGTCCCGATCTCGTCTTGGCGACGGTATCGCTTGCCTACAACACCGTTCGATCAACGTCGCAACGGTGTTCGACACAAGTCGCACCGATCGATTGAGTCACGTCAAAGTCGCAACTCGCCAGCTTCACCAACTGGATGTAGATCTCGTTGGCCTTCTCGGCCAATATGCCTTTGCTCTGAAGAGGCAGCACGGCAAACTTGTACGGGGCAATGTCTGGATGCAATCGAAGGACCGTGCGTTGTCTACAAGACTTGTGTCAATGCGGCGATACGAAAGTCATCCAAACACACCGTCCGTTTACTTCTTCTTCGTCGTACGCGTCGAGCAGCATGGCCAACATGACACGACCAGTTCCCAGAGCAGGCTCGATGACATGGGGCAGCAGTGTCTACAACGATACACCTCAGTCATTCGGCTCTTCAACTCGCGATATACCTCTCGCGATGTGGGGTCCACATACTGCAAATCTTCGCCCGAAGCGTCCATGTGCTTTTTCAAATCGTAGTTGGTTCGGTTGGCAACTAGCACCACGCCGCTCAGATCAACGTGTCCGATGGTGCATAGCACACGACCACACGTACTTCCCCACAATTCGCTCCATCCAAACGGGTACAGAAACTCAATGTCCGTCGTCGCTCGGGCATAATGGGCCAGTTCCTACGGGCCGCCATGACGTCGCCAGCTTCCTTTTGTGAATGCACCAATGTACCGCTTGGTCGTGGACCCGCTTCTTCAGGCTCGATGGTTTGATCCCGTGCTGAACCAACCAGTTGAAGCACTCGTCGACCCAATATGCAAACCTACCACGTGCATTGGCATGACCAGGAGGTGATTGATGGGGCGTACCAGTTGTCCGACTCGGTGGGATGACAGAAGTATTGCAGCTCGAGCTGTTCGAACTCGCGAGTGCGAAACAAAAAGTGTCCAGGAGAGATCTCGTTGCGAAACGACTTGCCCATTTGACCGACACCGAACGGCAGGCGCCGGCGCATTGTCGTGACCACGTGCTGAAAGTTGATGTATGCCCCTTGGGCCGTTTCTGGGCGCAGATACACCCACTCGCTGGATGGAGGTAGTCAGAGGAAGATGGCAACAAACTCAACAGACGCACCTCGTTTCGTCGGTCGAGCCCATGTTCGTACGGAAAAGGAGGTTGAATTGGCGCGACTTTTGCAGGTCGGCGCTGCCGCACGTCGGACATGCAATCTTGTGCTTGGTAATGAGATCGTCCAGTTCGTCGCACGTGAGGCCGCCAGCGTCGGGGATCCCCGTCACGTCTGCCTTGTTCTCGACCAATTTGTCGGCACGAGACCGGCTGTTGCAGCTCTTGCATACGGTCATGGGGTCCGTAAAGTTTCCAATGTGACCCGACGCTTCCCACACTGGAGGCACATTATGTGCTGTCACCCAGAAACAGCACCATACCTTTCGAGTTGAGGATCACGGACGAGTCCAAACCAACACAATCGGTACGCGACTGGACAAAGTGCTTCCACCATGCATCTTGAATGTTCTTTTTCATCTGGACCCCAAGCGGGCCATAGTCAAAGCTGTTGGCGAGACCGCCGTAAATGTCGGACCCTGGAAAGACAAACCCGCGGTGCCGGCACAGCGTCACAACTTTCTCTTGCAGGTTCGTCTCGACGGCCGATGTTGTCTTGAGACGATAGAGGAACAGATTCGGATGGGCCGCGGCTGCGGTTAATCGACGCAGCATCATTTCACGGCGTTTTGTTGGTCAAGAAAGGTCAAAACATCCGGATAGCACCCGAGTTTATCGGATGTTCGTGAATACACCAAAAGCCGTCGCATTGTTCACCGTGCCCATCACAGCCGTTCACGATGGGGACTCCTGGTACGCTGCTCGCCCAGTCAAGTTGTCGAGATGGTGGTCTGCTGTGATGGAGAAAGATGGCCGTACGGTGCGTTCCGAATGCCGTGGACGAAATGAAAATGTCCAACGATGGTTGTCGACGTCAACGACGTCGACCTGGTGGACAAGGGTGATGTGAAGGCGAAGTCTTCACGTGTGCGGCTTCTCCGTCTCGTGTGGCGCTCACTCACGTCTTATGAGTACGATCGTTAACGGCAACGTGTGCTGGTGGAACGTGCGTGATGCAGTCCTCGTTGGTCGCGGGGTGGCTGTGTTTGCCTCGTTGACATGCCTCCTCCTCCACAACGAATAACGTGATTTTCACGAGTTTAAACGCGTTTAATATCAACCGTTTCCTGAAATCTTGACTCCACCATCACACTCATTGTGGCGACGACGCGACAATGGGAATCGCGGACGACCAACTATGGCCCGCTAAGGCCATGTACGGCATCAACAACTTTGCGCTCAGCACGGTCCTGAACTTCCTCCCTGTCTTCTTCAACTCGTACTTCGATAAGCTCCAAATCGGGATCCTCGCCGCGATTCCATGTGTGTGTTCGGTGGTGGCGCCGCCGCTGTGGGGTGCACTGGCAGACATCTTGCACCAACAGCGATGGGTGCATGTCTTTTGCATCTTGTCTGGGACGATCTTGATGTTCCTGATCGAGTTCTCCGTATCCAACTTTTACGTGACGTGCTCTGTCGTGTTCTTGGCCAACTTCCAAACGAATCCCACGGGCTCCCTCCTCGATCAAGCCGTCATGGCCCTCCTGCATCGCGTCGGCGGGGAGTACGGAAAGCAGAGACTCTTTGGTGCAGTCGGGTGGGGTGTCGGAGCCTTCCTAACTGGCCTTGTTGTCAACACGTATGGAATTACATGGGCGTTCAATCTCCACTTGATCTTTTGCGTGCCGACACTGTACGTGCTGAGCTTGATTCCTGCCGCCGACCCGAAAGATTCGAGCGAAGGGCACACAGCGTCGCTCTCGTTTTGGGAAGGCTTGCGACGCATCGGGCGGAAGGCCGACGTGGTTCTCCTCCTTGTTGTGGTGTTGCTCATCGGGCTCATGTTTGGCGTCGTATCGTCCTTCCTCACGCTCAATCTGTACGAACTCTCGAACCACTCGACCACAATCGTCGGAATGGCGATTTGGCTTGAAACGTTGTCGGAACTCCCTGCATTTTACTTTGCCGACGCCGTCATCAAGCGGCTGGGCATCCTGAACGTGCTGCTCGTGTCCATCCTCGGGTACGGCGTACGCATCACGTACTATGCGGTCATGACGAACGCGTGGAGCGCGCTGCCGTTTGAACTCTTGCATGGTGTGACTTTTTCGCTAGCGTGGGCGGCGTGCACGCAGTACATCTACGACGCAGCTCCCCCCGGCACCGAAGGCACGATGATGGGCCTCCTCAACGCAGTCCTGAATGGCCTCGGCCGGGGCACTGGTACCCTCCTGGGGGGTTATTTGTACGAGCATTACGACGCGAGCTCCATGTGGTTTGCCACAGACCTCGGCGTCCCTGTTGCCCTCGTTGGGCTCTACCTGTTCTCTCGATCCATGAACAAGTCGGCGCTTCCCACGACCGCTGTGCCAAAAATTGAGTAGATAAACCAACAGATACAGCGTCCACTATATTGAGCGACTTGCGCCATGTGATGCGTTCGTTTCGATCGTCGCGGAATAGCCACTCAAACTGCAAATAGCCTCGTTAGTGCATGTAACTCGCTAGGAAGCTTTGACGCTGGAAGTAGCAACGACATTCCCTGCTATTGAATGGTTTCCAGGTCAGAGGCACGACTCATTTGGGACGCCACTGGACGGATGCGTTGGCACATGCACAATTTTTGTGTAATTCCCGGGCTGAGTGGGTCGAGTTCGGGCAAAGAGAGCGAGGCCGAGGAGTGCCAACGGTACACCCAAATTAGCCATCCACCACATGAAGGCCGGACCGTACTTGTCGTACCAGTAGCCTCCAGCTATCGTCCCCAGACCCCGTCCAAGCCCGTTGAGCATCGAATTGAGGAGCCCCATCATAGTTCCTTCCGTGCTAGGAGGTGCTGCTTCGTAGATGTACTGGGTGCACGCAGCCCATGCCAAGGCAAACGTGGCGCCATGTAAGAGTTCGAATGGCAGAGCCATCCAGGCGCTAGTCATGACGGCGTAGCAAGTGATTCGAGCGCCGTAGGCCACGATCGAGACGAACAAAGTCCAGACAATCCCAATGCGCTTGACTGTCGCGTTCGCAAAAAAGAACGCTGGGAGTTCCGAGAGCGTTTCAAGCGCAATTGCGATGCCGACAATCGTTGGCGAGTTGCCAGACAGCTCATACAGGTTCAACGTGACGAAGGACGAGATAATGCCAAACATGAGGCCCATGAGCAACACGACGAGCAGCAAAAACTGCAGATCGGGTTGGCGAAAAACATGTCGCATGCCGTCGGTAAAAGATATTTTGGCCGTGGACGAGCTGCCGCCGTGGCAATGGACCTTGGGAGGAGGAAGGAAGGTCAAAGCGAATAGGTTCGGAACGAGCAGCAGCAGGTGGAGATTGAAAGCCCACGAAATGCCGTAGCCACGGACGATGATCCCGGTACAAAACGCTCCAATGCCCCAGCCGACTGCTCCAAAAAGTCGCTGCTTTCCGTACTCACCGCCCACGTCTTCAATGAGGGACATGATGGCTTGGTCCAGAAGCGACCCCGTTGGGTTCATTTGAAAGTTCGCGCAGAACACAATCAAACACGTGATGGGGAAGCTCGACCTGGCAAACTGGATGCAATACATCAGAACTGTGCCCGACACGAGGCAGCCAACGTGCACCCAACGTTGACGGCCCAGCAAATCTGCCACGGCACCCCACAGCGGTGGCGCCATCATTGAGCAAACGCACGGAATGGCCGCAAGGATTCCAATTTGAAACTTGTCAAAGTAAGCACTGAAGAACAAGGGAAGGTAGATGACAATGGTGCTTAGTGCCATCCAGCTGATCATGTTGGTAGCCTTGGCAGGCCAAAGGATATCGCGGCAGCCACGTGGCATGGCAATTTGTGCGGTTGGGTTGATGATTGCTTGATCCTTTTGTATCATAGGGAGTTTTAACCATCGCTGGAAAAATACCTCCTTGAACCTGGTGAATTTAAATACAACTATTTATATTCTTTTCAGTATTCAGAATATAACTTCACAGTTAAAAATACAATGGTAGTTATATTACAAAGAACGCCAAACACTTTAACGTGTGTCTTGGGGAAGATACGTCGCTGCAACATGAGCATGCAGGACGACCTCAGAGCACACTTGGCGGAGCTCAAGAGTCGCCAAAAGGCCTTGTAAGCGTGGTCGCAATGTAGCTTGGCACGACAATCTCATGGCAAATCGTAGGACGGCGAGGCGGGTTGCCCTGGAGAAGAAACAAGAGCTGCGTGATTCGACCTTAGCTGAGTTCAGTGCAGCGTATTCGGACATGCTCCGTCGCAAGCTGCGGGTGTGCAAGCAAAACCATGTCGAGTCGAGAAAGCGCAATCAAAAGTTCGTGTCGGACATTCAAGAGTACCAGAAGCAGCACTTTGGAACGGCATTACCTGGAGTAGTCGGTCGAGCATCCGCCATGGCGTTGGTTAAGGCGAAACAAACGTTTGCCGACCAAGTGGAAGTCGTATACCCAGCTTGGCAAGAGAAGATGCAGCAAATGAAGCTGCACAAGCTTCGCCAGTTGGAGCAGGAAAAGCGAGAAATCGAGCACCGTCGGGTGTTGGCAAAGCAGGTGTCTCGTCTGGGTCAAAGAGTTATTGCTTGACAGACGTGCTGATGGTTTGCCTACTTACAACGGTAGAGCTTTGAAAAAGAGCAAGCGCTTGAGATGCTTCTCCAGCAAACGGTAAGGAATCCATGGAGGCCATACTGATGTCACGGGATCCGGGCAGGCGCAAGATATTTCGTTCGCCGCGACGATCGAGCGCAACGAGGTGTACGAGCGCCAGCTCTTCCGCCAGCAGAAGATGAAAGAAGGTACGCATGAGCGGCATTCATTTTTAAAGAAGGCTCCTAGCCGCGGATTTGGACTACATCATTCAAATGAGGGCGGACGAAGAGAGGCGACGTCTTGAGGAAGACCACATGAAAGCGCTCGTCTCGGCTCCATTGGAAAAGTTTGGTGCGTATACCACGCCTGGTTGGACCGATTAAAACGATGGGGATCATAGAATCGCTCGCCCAAAAGTATGCTCCATTGAAGATGGAAGTGCCGTCACCAGGAATGGCGGCGACAGCCCTCAGGTTGGTCCTGCTGCCCTCCATCGCACCTAATGCAACTACCTGATATCCCAGACAGCACCACGTTGAGCTCAGTGTGCCAAAAATCCCGACAACCGTTCCAAACTTTGCAAACAAGTGAGTAAACTCCTCGTATTGCAGTGGCTACAGCATCTTAACGTCGTCTTACTCGTCGATGTGGCCCTTCGACCAGTACGGACTCCATGCAAGAGTTAGAAGCCCAGTTGCCACGTCAAGTGCAGGATGGCGTTCACAAGTTTCGAGCATCTGGTCAAGACGATACAATGCCCATCGAGGAAATGTCGTTTGGGTATGTTCCGGTAGGGCCAGCCTCGATGCAGCCAGCGGGCGCCTTGCCCCCTCCACCACAAGCCGCTGTTCTGGTCCATCGTGCGGCGCCTCCACTGTTGTCACAGGTGGACCATGAGTTTCATCCGATTCCTCCTTCAAATCAAGCGAGTCCTGCACTACCGCCCATGATACTCGAAACGACAATGCCCCTTGTGCCGACAGAAGAAGTCATCTACGGCCCAGCGCCGGCCCAATCTGCACCGCATTTATCAGGCCCCAGCCCACGTGTCGACGTCAGTTCGCATCTCATGCAAGAACCAGCGGATCGTATCCTCCTGCCGGCACCAACGCAGACAATTCAGTCACCTGGTCGAGCCCCCGCCAGTTCTCTCCAAATGGAAGAAGCCTCCAATGTTATATCCAAGGAAGGCGAGAGTCGCGGCGAAGAAATGACGGACAGAATCCTAGCGGACTATTACCACATGACGCGACCAGCCAGTTCGACCGAGGTGCCATTCATCGAGCAAGGCGCAACTAGCAGTGGTGCCAACGAACCTCTGCCTGCAATCAAGGAGGCAGCATGCGACGATGTTCGAACGGCAACGATCGCGCCTGCTCAACCAAGTCCCTTGGACCGACAACCTGACATCACCCAAGCCCATCCCAGTCCACCCAAGGCTCAATCGGCCCTTGAATCCACGCAGGGCTTGCCCACTGCAACTGCAGAAGTCATTACCCCAAGTGAGATATCTCCAGAGGGTACGACGACCTCTGCATGCGGCGTGCCATCAGCCCATGCTGCCGAAACCGACGACCCCGTTCCTGCCTCCGGCCCTTCACTGTCATCATCCCTATGCGACAACCCGAGCAAGGAGGTCTCGACATCGCCAACCTTGCGCAACCCCTCCGCGCCAGACTCACCCACCGATGTTGAAGCTACAAATTATGCGCCTCGTCTTTCTCAAGACGACACCACACCACACAATGAGCCTGCTACAGAAGCCATGGAATCCGTGACGCTTCAGGACAGCCCAACTACTGCGACGGCCACCTCGGTTGTGACGTTAGCCAACGAATCGACAGAGGACAAAGAAAGGGTGTCTGCGATAGTGGACATGACCTTGTCTGTGGACGAGAGCTTCGACCTGAGCCACTCTGCGGCATCCGCGACAGTCGAGGAAAGCACCAACGCCACCATTGTCGCTGCATCCGCGACGGACCAGTCCATGGGCACTTCCATGTTTCTGCCGTCGCCGGAGATGTCAGCGGACGTTCTCGTGTTGGACGGGTCCAATGCTTCGATGTGCCCCGACACACCGATTCCTCGAATGACGTCGGCGTTTTCAACGAAACATGACATTGACGAATCCACACATATCATGGCTGAAGACGCTGACGACAGAGACGAATGCACAGGCACGTCCGTGACATTCAACCTGACCATCAACGAGCGGCTGTCGGTACTGCAAGCGCTGATCCCTCGCATCGAAGACGCAACGAAAGACGGCGAGCAATTTACTGCTGACGTCGAGAGCGGCATCGAGATGAAGTCCAAGCAGGATCTACTCAAGTCCGTGCCTAGTAGGAATGAGAGTTCACGACATGGAGCTTTGGCTAGGATGGCGATGGGCGGTCGCAAGGCACAGATTGGGTTCTTCGGAGGCGACGTTTGTTTTGCGCTGCTCTTGGACGTGTGCCGAGATGCTGCGCCATGTACGTCCATCCTGATATCTCGGTTGACTTACTTGCTGCATATAGATCTGTTCCCCGAACGCATTTTCGAAGGCAAAATGACCGATCAAAAACTGGTCAAGGAGTACAAATCGTGCCGCGAGAGAGAACTTGGTACGCACGCGCACTGTGAAGCCACGACCTAAGCATTTCGTGGGATGCGAGCAGACTTTTGGAAACTCCTCTCGGCTCACTTCAAGCATCTGGTTGCGCAGGGGGCCATGCCTGGTGACCAACTCGTCGAGTTGCTCGTCGGGATCTTCCTCGCGCACTTGAACAACGACGCACGGTCTACGAGAAAGGTAAGTCGCGCAGCCGACTTACCTGTCCCGCGATTGTTCGACAACGACTCACTGGATGGTCCCATGGCCAGCTCAAAGAGTTCCTGTCCGGCCATTTGGGCAGCGGAGCGACGTCAGAAAAGCCACCTGCACCGCCTTCGAAGCAGTCCGTCGACGCTGCAAAGCCAGTCGAACCAGCGCCCAAACAGCCTGGGTCAAAAGATCCCAAGCTATACGAAGCCAAGAGCGTCCTCGACCTGGCTTTCATGCAGTCGGAAACGTCGCCGTAAGATCGATTGAGTCGACCGTCGTGGCCGAATGGGCACCCTCTAGGTCAAAGCGAAAGGCGTCCGAGAAGGGGTTGAAGCTCCCCAAATCGTCCATGAGTGCCTCCAGCGGGGGCCTTGGCCAACGAGTAGAGCTGCAGTGTTGGTACAAACCAACTCATGCAAATCGTTGTAGGTACTGCGTGGCGTAAACTTGGGCGACATCTCCGAATTTGAAGACGACGACGACAGCATTGATTTGAACAAGTTTGTAAGGACGCCATCGAATAATTCGAGAGCGTCAGGAAAGCCCGCGGCAACCACAGCCAAGGCGTACTCGACAACCAACGAGACCAAGAGAGCACCAAAGGACGACGACTTCGATGCAGATTTCTAAGCTGCTGCACTGTGTCGTATGTGCAGAGAATACTGGCTCAAGCACACCATCGTGCTCGTTGAACGAGCCTGGTTGCTTTCAGCTTTTGGTTCCACAACCAGCGGTGTTTTCGACTCGTCATGGGCACGGGTGGCGCATGGTTGAATCGAATTGGATTCACGCACTGACGTCGCTGCTAGTTAGATTCATCGACGGTGGTTTTCAAAACAGGGCTACATCTACACTTCGACACACTGCATGCGGGCAGGATTCTTGAGGCCATCGTCGACATCTCGGGGGGCAGGAATCGGGTGCATCGCAACATCCCAGACCCCCATCAACGTCATGCCAGGGAACGACTCGATGCGACGAAACGTGGCGGGGCGGAACGTCACAGCGAACACGACGCAGAAGAAAAGGCACTCGACGGAGCAGAGCGTGTAGTATGCGCGGAGCATGTAGAGGTCGTCGTGGTCCGTGAAGAGCAAGCAGTACGCGGCCCATTGGAACGACCGGACGAGGAGAAGCCCCTTGACGACGAAGAACTTGCCGAGGACGTTGAAGCGGGAGTCGATGGCGGAGAAGAGGCGGCGGATGGTTAACAGGATAGCGACCACGGCGGAAACCGTGATGAGGATGTTCACCGACGCCAGCGCCAACCGTACCTGCCAATTGTCGTAGTATCGATTGACCACCATCGCGATCGACACGATCGGTCGAACGACGACAAAGGTAAAGATCACTTTGCGATACTGCATGTACTCGACGGGACCTCGTTGCGCCGCGGCATCCGTTCCTTCTTCGTTGCCTGTCTTGCTCTGGAGGGAAGGGCTCGTGGCGGGCGGGGTGAACACGACCATGGTCGGTGCACGGTTGCGCATCGAGTGGAACTGCGAAAACAACTCGATCGCGCGGTCCGAGCCTCCAACGTGCACGACGAGAAGGAAGAAGAAGGACAAGAGCATGATGGCTTCGACTACCCCCGTCACGACTTCCTCGACCATGTCGTGCACAATGGCTTCGGGGGACATGGGCGAGCTGATTTCTGTCGATAGGAATTGGAGGAAAAACGACGCCGCCGTCAGGATAAAGATGAATACCAGTCGAATCGACACGATCTGCGCGGGGGCGTTGAACACGTCGTGGGCGTGCGACGCGAACACGTGGCATCCCACGAACACGCTGGCGAGGAAGATGCCACAGTTGACAGCGAAGATCCAAGGCACCATGACGGCGAAGTGCTCAGCAACCCTGTTGTGTGTGACGGTGGTGTCGTGCTCCTGTTGCTCGCTTGCCGGTATGGACAAGCAGATCCGAGAATGCCATCGCCTTGACCCAGCAGTCTGGGTCTGAGTTGGCCCATTCAGCCCGCACCTGCTTACTCCTCTTCCTTTCAATATTGAATACCTTCAATAATGCATAATATACAATCTTTGCCTCAATGCCCGGGTGGGTTAAATACCCCTGTATAAATGAATTCGTTGTGGAGCGACAACAAGCCGGATTGTCACGTGGGTTCGACTCGCCAGTCCATACGCACACACCACGGCGGGCTTCTGACAAAACGACCCACGATCGCAGTTGTCTTAGATGAGCTAAACCATTTCCTGGATGAGGCTTCTCCAGGAAGCATGGGCGTGCAGCATGAACGGAACGATTGCGATCGCGCATCCTGGTGTTTTGGTACACTGTACCAGCTGGGACACCCAGCCAAAGCAAAGCAAAGCACGTGCATTCCAGAGCAATCGACCAGTCTTCTGCTGTAGTACAGCGCGCCTTGGGTCTCTTGTGATTGTCCTCAAAGCAGAGAGGAACATGCATGGCTAACGTCGACTAACTTGAGGAACTCGGCGCGTCCGGCCGACTGTACACCCCGTCAAACTTGATCTCTTCAGGTGATTGGTTGTACGATTCAGCCAATCAGTGAGCACTTTCGGTGAACCAAGACCATCGATACAGCGACGTCGACATCCCGACTCCATCCACTCTCGGACGGCAGGAACGCAACGTGCATCTGCCATGGCCACATCACAAGCCTTTCCTACCATGGCCATCGAAGGCCAGTTCACGAGAAAGCGCATTCTCTCGTTCGTTGTCGTCGTGCCATGTTGGTCGTGCTAACCCAACGCATCGTGCAGGAAATCCCTCATGTTTGCCGACGTGTTGGTCGACGACTCGTGTACGTACACATGGTCCACGCCGCTCCACAGGATGAATGCAGTGCGTAGCAACGATACAAGTTATGTTCCGTGCTGGAGAAGGACCCTGGACAAAGGAGACCCTGACGCAGCTCAACTGGGACGTCCACGTTGGCGACATCGTCGTTGTGGAGGGGGGCAAGAAGATCGAAGAAAACGACCGCGTCCTCCTCGTGGCGTCGTCTTGCGCTGTCAAGGAAAGCTGGAAATCCAAGCACCCAGGCATAGATTTGACTCACATATCGACTTGCATTGATCGGCGGCGCATTGTCCTTCAGACAAACGATTTGAGCCAGCAACCGACGAGTCCCAAGGTCTTGCTAGCAAACAAGCGTACGCCAACATGATCCAACTCCGAGGATTCAACGCTTGCAAGTATCACTTCAGCAACGGCTCGTGCGTCCGGGGCGAAGCGTGTCACTTTTGGCACGGGTAGTTCCAGCTGACTGGCTTCTCCATTTTCGTCACGATGGCATGCTCGTACAGGCCACCGGGCGACTATAAACTGCTCCAAGAAGAGTGGATTCAGAAAAGAGCGGTGCAGAAGCGGGAGTTGGCGCTCTTGGTCGACGACCCGTTGGACCCTCATGCCAAGGAACAAAAGTCCCATCGTGCTCGCATCTTTTGCGAATGGCTCGTGGAGCAGTATGGCGTCGATCGCCTTCAGGAAGGCTCCGGTGTCATCGATGTTGCTGGGGGCAAAGGTGACATTGCGTTTGAGTTGTGGCTCTGTCGCGACATCCCGACTACACTCATCGACCCGGTACGTCGCCATGCGCGGCAAGATGTTAAGTTGATCGATGATCAGCGTCAAGTCAAGACCAGGCGAACGCATTTAAAGTTTATGGCTCAGCATGGCAAGCCAAAGTGGACACATGTACGTTTTTGTTGCTTGTTTGGAGTCTCCCGACGGCACCAACATGGCCAGGAACGTTGAACTGGACTGTGGACTAGATGATGGAAGAACTCAATAACGACTTGATAGCCACGCACAACGCGCTCTTTCAGTCGTGCTCCATCGTGGTGGGAATGCACCCAGATGAAGCCACGGAAGCCATCGTGGATGCAGCTCTCGCGTTCTCCAAACCATTTGCGATTGTTCCGTGCTGTGTCATGAGTCGCCTCTTTCCGAACCGCTATTGGAACGACGACAAGGTAGCTACCTATGAAGTGTTTGTCGAGTACCTCAAAGCCAAACACCCCGGCATTCGATCGGCATTCCTGCCCTTCGGTGGACGAAATCAAGTGCTGTACCGAATGTAAAATGCCTTGGACGCATGAAAACTTGTCGTTGTGCGTTTGCTCGGGCAACAAGGGTACTGTGGATCGCCTCTGATGTAGCAGCAGCCGTCGAGCGCGGCGATTCATCAGAGGACTGCGGCGCCATGCCGAGACCCCGTCGCATCGTGGATGCACTTTGACCGCGAATACCATGCTTCTGCGCTGACTTGGGGGAGAGCATGGCCAAAAACACAATTGCAATTCCTTCGTATGGACAGTTGAAACTTGCCCGTCGTCACACGCATCTAGTGTCGAATACAACATAGGCCTCGGCAGGCGACGGCGGCAAGGATAGCAATACAAGATATTTCACCGTTCGTGATTAAATTCTCACTCGACAGACACGAAGAAACAATTGACGTCGTGCGTGAGGTGGTCGGTGGTGTCGAGAGCGAGGCAGTCTTCCAAGAACGGCGACGGGTTGGCGAAGGTCTGTTGAACGAACACGGCCTTGGACTTCTTTTGCTTTTGGATCTTGGTGTGGAGGGGGTTGGGCTTTGGAACTGGCACTTTCGGGACGAACTCCCCCGACGTCACTGTGTCGTATCGTTCCAGCATCGCCTTTGGGTGTTCGTTTGGCAGCGACGGCTCCAAGTTGGCCGTGCCCGTCGAGAACGACGCAACGACGGGATGGTAATGCTTGCCGAGGAAGCTCAGTTCCCTACGAGCACACAGCGCGGTCAACCAATCATCCAGGCGGTGGCCATCGTACCAGCATGCCGACGCGAACGGATTGCAAAAGTCGGGGTCGTCCACATCCGCGCTACGAGAGAAATACGGTCAATTCAAACGCGGGCTAACGCGTGCATGCGCGTACCGATACATGCCCGACGCGACGCGGTCTTGATCGGTCTCCAGCAACTGGTGCAACTTCGAGTACCGGTGAAAGAGACCTGCAAAGCAATGGAAGGGTCAAGAAGAATGAATCGCTTGCTCTGTCCATGTGGATGCACCAACTTCGAATTAGCGCCGACACGGCGAGCATTTGATGCGGGTACAGAAACATCGAGACGACGAGCAGGCGTTTGATGAAGGCTGCGACGCGGTCCACGACGATTTCCTTTCGCTTGATGAAAACTGCTTCCACGCACAACAACGCTGTGTTGAAGCAAGCAACGTTTTCACCCTGGGCAAACCGTAGGAGCAGCTACCACCAAACGAGATAACATGGGATGGAGGATGGTGTAAGCATTCGTACGCGGTACAAATGGTCGACAAAGTCCTTCTCGTCGACCTTGAGCTCTTGGCCAGGTCCTTGCAACGTTTTAATCCCGGTCAAGATCGCCTGCAGCGCCGCCGACAAAGGCAAAATGTCCTCCTTCAGCAGCGCTTTGAGCACCTTCATGAGGTCGATCATGATCTCCAAGTTGATGAGGTAAGCGAATTTGGTCAGACCCTAGGTGGATGGAGTTGTGACTGATGGCTGGGCAGGGACGTGGGTACCTCCAAGACGGCCGGCATCGCGGGTGAGTACGTCGAGTTTTTCAAGATCCGAAAGTAAATGAGAACAAGTTCGTGCAAAATGTCGGCTTGAGTCTTGTCGCGCTCCGACTTGTCGACGACGGCTTCCGCTTCTTTGAGTCCCGTCGCAATGGTGTCCCCCTAATCACGTCAGCAGCACGACGTGAGCTGCCACTGACACGTAGCTCGTCTACTAGACTTGCGCACCTCCTTTTGCTGGCGTCGGCGCTTTTTTCGACTCGACTTGGCCACACGTCGGGCGATCTCCCCCGCTTCCATGGTCACGTCCAGCGGCATTGCGAGCAGCGTCTTGATCATGCGTTCGCTAACGCTATCGAAACGCAACCACGGTAAAGCCATGAACGACCGATTGCAGCGTTTACCGATGGTGGCGCTTCTTCACATAGTTGGCCATGTCCTTGACGATTTCGAGCGGCGCTAGGCCCGACTTGTCCGTCTAAATGAATCGCCGGTAATTGTTAGCAATGCATCCACAGAATCCTCAGCAACGCACCTTAAACACAACTTCAAACGCGTCGCAAACTGGTCGCTGGATGCTCACGAACGGGCTGTCGGCGAGCGGCACCATCGCGTGGATCAGGTTGAGGTTAAAGTTGAACGCATATTTGACCTTGAGCAACTCGGCCAGGCACTTGACGGCCGTTTCTGCAACGCCAAACTCGATCTGTTGTGTTGCTGTACGTGTCATTTGGTTTGGGTGGAGCGTCGACAGGTTGGTGGTGGCCGTGGCCGACAAAAACTTGAGAAATGTTTGGTACTGGTTGAGCATCCCGGATTCGAATTCCTTCATTTCCTTCACCCGCTTCTTTTGCGGCCCGCTGCTCGCGGCTTCTGACCCGATCCGAATGCGGTAATCGGGCAGCACGTCGAGTAGCACGGACAGCTCGGACAACATCGCGAGCTTGACCAACGTAACGTCCGTGTCTTCGCACATCGCATGGAGCTGCTGGAATTTACTCAATTGTTCCGGGTGTTCCTTGGACTTCTTCACTGCGTCCTCCGGCGACTCCAAGATGCTTTCACACAGCAACGCCAACTCTTCCTTTTTGGCGTGCAAGCGGCGGGCCTGCATCGCCTTGAGCTCGTCTAGCGAGATCGTGGCCGGTTTCTTCGCCGGAGCAGACGGCTCTTGGAAATCCGTGATCTCTTCGACTTCCAAGTCGGACATTTCTTCGTCACCACTGCCCAGTTCCGATCCATCGCCTCCGTCTTCGTCGTCCTCGTCATCCTCTTGATCATCATCACCGCCTTCTTCCTCCGCTTCTTCGACGATTTCCTCCATCAATTTGTTGGGCTGCAAAGCACCGTCAAATGTCTTGACAGGAAGCTTGGTGGAAATGTCAATGGTCGACTTTTTCGCTTCAGCCGGCGCCGCGCGCGGGGCGGATTCAATTTCCTCGAGGGATTTTGGCTCCCGCACAGGCTTGTTTAGTGATGATGTCTTTTTGGTGGATTTGCTGAGGATGCACCGAGGATTTAGTGCATGCACTTTTGTCGGTTGAGCAGTAGATAGCCAGGACGTACCTGATTGCATTTCGGTCCATGGTCGACAGAAACGACGAAAACTGGTCGTGACTCTGTCGGTAAGTTCCTCGTGAGATTCGTTTGTACAACATCGTTGCAATCATACCTCAAAGAACTCAATATCTTCGTCAGCGATCTCCACGTCATCGTCTTCCTCGACTTGTGAAGCTGCCGCAGCCTTCTTGACTTTCTTAGCTGCACTGGGTTTGCCTTTCTTGACTGGAGTTTTATCTGCAGCTTTCACTCGCTTCTGGTGCACATTGCCTTGATTGCTCTGAGGTGCCTTGCGCTTCTTATTCGCAACCTTGGCAGCGGTGCTGGCCTTGCCACCTTTCCCCTTGGTCCCGCCGCCGGCCATCCTCGATAGATATGTGAAGTTGAAGAACCTGATGCGATATTGCTACCAACCACCAATCCATTACTTTCGTTCCTTTCATTGGTTGAAATTCGAAAAATTCCCGATTATTGACTAATACACGTCCATCCGGATAAAAAGCGATGTTTTGTATAGGGGTCGATATATCGTATGGCAAAATTCTATATGCCGCCGTCAGCGGCTAAAAAATCACTGCCCTGCAACCCCAAATGTTAAGAAACTCTGCGAAACATATCAAGGTACAGATAACAACGAACGAAATTTACAGTGGCATTTCCTTGTTGTACTGGAATTGCATCATTCGTGTGCGGTTTGGTCACGATTAAATTGTTGGCGACAAGGCCTACTGTTGTTTGATTGGACAAAATGAACCGGTGCTCGACAAATCGACGAGAAACAATTACATGACGAAATTCAGTTACTGCGAAACTCAATCCCAGTGATTGGATTTGGGGGCACCTGGAATTACCATCTCTTGCGAACGACCGATCAGTGATGTTGGCATCTCTTCTCAAGCTGATATTATGAGCTTGATCAAAGCTAGGATAATTTCTGTCCCTATCATCGCAGGTTCTTTGTGGATCCACTTTGAGCAACTTACGCGGCCATCATATGGAAATTTCCATACTCATCCACAGATGAAATGGAGTTGAATACTCGCCCAAATCTCTGTGAGGCGCACTTTCAGTCCCACCATGAATGTAAGGGGCGGCTACGTACTGTTCATTTCATGTACTGCCACACATGTTATTTTGTGTTGAGGTCCAGTTCTTTCGCATGAAGTTCAAGGAAAATAAAGGCATTGTTTCCGGAAAATTGTCCATAATCTTCGTCACGTGGATACGGGAATTGTCGTGCATAATTATGTCCAAAGACAGGTCAAGTTTGAGGAGGTTTTCGAAGAAATATTCTTCGACCATAGGGAGGTAGTCCTTGGATTTTATCGTGCCTTCGCTTCCCGGGTCTAGCTAGCCAAGCGCACACCGCACCATAAACGTATGACAACACTCTTGAACGTTCACTCGAGGCACTGGCTCATACACTTTTCATTTGGCTTTCGCCACAGAGCAATCGTCGATCATGTGTTTCATGTGCTATTTGGCTTGCAAAAGTCGCTTGGCCATGTTCTTCATCGCAATGAAAGTATTTCGTCTCATCGCCTTCCGGTCATGGACACTGTTTGTATGCGACGACGAAAGTTTCTATCGAAAAGCCCTTCTCGTGGAAAACTCCGAACGCCTCTTTTGGTGACTCGACGCTGAGGCGTGTCTACTTAGCATACATACCTGAGACCTGAAGGTGACTGACGCATAATGTGTGTCTGTCTCACCATTGGTCCAAGCAAAGAACGAGCAAGCAGTGCCTCGCGCATCGCCCCAATACGGCTGACGTCGGATTGCGCAGGCAACGCCCGGATAAAGTCCGGATGCATCTATAATGTCCTAGACCTAGTGGCTGTATTCTAATTGGTGGAGCATAAAACTACATGCCTGTGATACTGTAGGTACGTATGATCTTAAAATTGATGGGTAGCTGTTGATATCTCACTTCCATATATGCTGTTAAGCTCCCGCACCTAGAAAGAAACGGGTTGCTGACAAAGCTTGTGCTGACTTCAAGGAGAGAGCTTGCGCCTCCCCTCATGGTGTCGTTTGTGAGTCGTTTCCACGAGACACAACAATCTTTGTGCTAGATTCGTCTGAGACGACTAGAATGATGCGACTAGTCGGAAAAGTCCAGGAAGAATGAGTGACACGAGTGACAGTGATACCGCCCATAACGGTGCGATAAGCATCGCGACTGTTACCCATCAAGCCTCACCAGTTTCTCCCCAGTATTCTGGTCATATGAACCAAGAAATATGAAATGTGGGAAATTCCAACCTGTCCTGACAATGGAATGCACACATATGCATTTAAGCGTGTCTACACAACAGCGCTATTGTCATCAAGTCTTTGGCTGCGCCTGCCGATCTCATCGAGGGTATGGCTCGCTTTAGCTGGTTCGTCACAATGGGCGGAGTGAATGACGAACTCATACAATTCATCTTGAAACAAAAGAAGGAGATCATGTCAGAGCTTGAACAAAGTAATTCCGAATGCTGAAACTGAAACTGCGCTCGAGAAATTTCGATGGAACATATGTATGAAAAGGACGTTACAATGCGCGTGGTCAATTTCCTCGTAGAAGCTTCTAACCTCATTGAAGGGATTGGGCTGTCGACAAGATGAGCAAGAAAATATTCTCCGTAGTTCTGTCGAAATTCAAACCAGCCAAGTTGCGAGCAAGTCTCACCGACAGGGTAGATTGCAGCCAAAATATGAACCCGAAATACGATGTCAGCGACCTTGCTAA